AAAATCCAGGTGCAAAAATTCGCTCTGTGGCGAAGAAATTCAACGTGCCTCGTAGCCGGCTTCAACGACGTGCTAACGGCGTTCCTGCTAGGAAAGGCCATCCAGCAAGAAATACAATGCTTTCACGAGAAGAGGAAGTTGCTTTATGTAACTATATCGATCGCCTTGATAAGGCCAACTTCGCTGTACGACCTGAATTCATTACAGATGCTGCAAATTACATCCTAAAAGAGAGGGCATCGTCAACTGCCCCGCCTAGGCAAGTTGGAACGCGATGGACTACACGCTTTATCCAGCGGCATCACTATCATAAAGGTCTTCAAAAAAAGATTGATTCAAGTCGAAAAGCTTCAGAAGATGTGACAAGAGCTCTTTCTTATTACAACAAGCTTAAAGAGGCTATTCAGCAGTACGGAGTCCCTCCTGAAGATATCTGGAATATGGATGAGACTGGCTTTCGTATTGGAATGGGAAAGGACCATTTAGTTGTTACAAAGCGAAGAAGAGCGCATCTATTTTCAATGCCAGAAAACAGGGAGACTGCAACAGCAATAGAATGCATTTCTGCTGGCGGCAAAGTTATTCCTGCCTTTCTTATCCTTACAGGGCAAAAACACATGGAGTCCTGGTATCGGATAAAGGAGCTTGAAGCTAATACCAAAATAACAGTCTCACCAACCGGCTTTACGAATGACGAAATTGCAGTTGCTTGGATACAGCATTTTCAGGAATTTGCAACGCCAATAGGCAGATATCGCCTTTTAATCCTAGATGGCCACGGATCACACCATACAATTGAATTCGTTGAATACTGCGAACAGCACGATATAATTCCCTTTGCGTTGCCCTCGCACCTTACACACATCCTTCAACCTCTTGATGTTGTGATATTTCAGCCACTAAAGCATTATCATGCAAAGGCGTTGGATATCATTGTTCGAGACGGCGTGTTGAATATTACAAAGATTGAATTCCTTGCTTGCATTCAAGCTGTACGAAAACAAGCTTTCAAGACTACTACTATTCTCACAGCCTTTCGAAAAACTGGAATTTCACCCTACAATCCACAGCCTGTAATTGAGGCCCTTGAACAACGAGCTGCAATTTACACATCAACACCATCGCCGCCGCCGTTATATCACAACAACTCTTCCGACTTTGAGACGCCCACAACACTCAGGCAGATAAATAAGGTTGCCAACAAGCTAGGGGAGGTATTAGAAGACGATACATCCCTTGAGCCTGAGTTTGCACGCAATATCAGTCGTTTTATCCGCGGCTCTCTTATTGCAGCTACTGAGCTTATACAGACGAAGAGAGACCTTGGGCGTACAAAAGCAGCTCAATTACTATCACAGCGACGTAGAGCTCATAAATATCACGCCCTACAAACTGGTGGCGTTCTTTCTGTGGATAACGCGCGTGAGATGGTCAAGCAAAACGAGAATGACCGCCTTGATACTGCTCGTCGGGTTGTTGAGGCAGCCGACAAAAGGCGCCACAACCACGCCAAGAGGACGTTTTTTGAAGCAGCTAAAAAGGCACGTAAATGGCGTCTGGATTCTGTACTAGATCTACTAGAAATTTGGGACGAGAAGGGTGTACATTATAGGCGAAGAGGTTAATAGCGTTATTAGGTTGAAAATTGGCCCGCCTTGGTGTCCGGCCCGCCTTGCTGTCGAGCACCACCTTTGGTGGTGAGGGCTTTTGCTAGCCGAACCACATAAAGTGGGGCGGGCACGATTGGTGGTGAGGGCTTTTGCTAGCCGAACCACATAAAGTGGGGCGGGCACGATTATAATCAGACCGTGTCCACGGAGTCCTCGGCACTCGGTGATGGCTTTCAATAATAACCCATGGCCATCTTGCCGCCCAAAGGAACTGCTGCGAACTGGCGTTGGCTCGTTTGACCAGAGTCCCTTTTTTGGTTCCGTCAATACGTATCGTAACGTGGTCTGGATGTGCTGTGTGGGTTGACGGCATACCGCCTGGAGGGGAGTCGGGGGTCGGGACTGCGGAGTAACTTAGGTACCCAGAAGCAGATCCGGCAAACCGCCAGCTGAGTGTTGCTTGCCCATGGGAGAGGGAAAAAAAGAAAAAAATTGCAAACAAAAAACGACTCGAGATTCCCAGCGATAATGAAGATGCACAAATATGTGTGGTAGCCACGAGAATGAAACGACATGGGATGGTCGAGCAGGGAAGGCACGACGGCGTTTGGCGGAGTGGGGAACCATGACGACTGGCGTGGCCTCCTTGGCCTCGTCTACACGATAATTTCCCTCTACTACTACTACTCTATACCTAGCTCGGTGTTCAACACCAGGCCTCCGCTGCGCGTCCATCCGGGTTTGCCTGCCACGCTCGCTTCACTCATGCCTCATGCCTCATGCCTCATGCCTCGTGCCTCGTGCCTCGTGCCTCATGCATCAGGAGACTGGTTCCGGAGCGGCCCAGCCGAGTTCCCACACTGCCGAGTCGAGCCCAAAACCAACAAGAGCTCGTAGTTTTGCCCATGGTGAGGCAGAAGCCAGGAGGGGGTTTGGCCGACACCTGACGCCTGAGATGACATCGAGGCAGTCGAGGCAAGCATAATCCGTCGGCAACCCATGGCATGGACTTGACTTTGTCGGCAAGCCATGATATCATGGCACAGGACCAGGACCGTACGTACAATGAAGGCAGCAAGCAGCCATAGCCTGGCCTGGCCCGGCCTGGTCCACTCAAGGTCCCCTGATCCAAGCACGCCTACGGAGTAGTGTGGCTGACAGGCGAACTTGATCCTACGGAGCACTCATCACTCATCGTGCTGGGAGCTTTGTTGGAAGTCTACCCGACGGCGTGCCTCGGTGAAGCGGCGAGGGCCGCGACGAGACCGCCTGGAACAAGGTGACGCCGCACGTGGCAGTCTCACAGTTTCACTTTTCTCCTCATAACCAAGACGTAGCTGGGATGCGAGGCTTGTGACTCCGGGGGTCGTCTACTCGCCAGCTTCTTCTCGTCAGTTATCATCAGCAACTTGTCGGACCCTCGCTAGACCTCTGGGCTGGGCCGCCCAGGGCTGGGAACTATAAGTCTTGATTGATTGGCCAAGGCCCGTGCTAACGCCCGTCGTTGGTTCAGAGAAATCTTGAACAAGGATCATCAAGACCCTTCGCGCCGTAAATGTACCTCGTCGACCGCGGAAAGGATCCAAGCTGTGCTAGGAAGCTCGTTGGGGAGCAAATCGTCGCTGTGGCTTTTGCGGTGGGGCCGGTCCGGATACTCTGTACACCGTCAAACCGTCGAGCTCGTTGACCAGACGAGTTCTCCGACACCAAGAACAGATGAGTGGGCGTCCATGTTTTGTCCCCACGGTCGCATCCGCGGTAGCAACAACGCACATCCGTCCTGTATCGTACTTGGTAACCGAAATGTCTTGGCAGACACGCAATGCTGGTCAACAATCACTTGCTCCCTGCCAATCTGCGTCTTGGACTGGGTTTCTGGGTGCCGAATACCCTTGGGTAGGAGACGGGAGCTTAAGCGTCGATGGACGAGGTGGATGTGGGGGAACACACACACCACCTGGTCGACGACACTCGCGGGGATCTGACATGATCAAATTGCAGAAGCATGGGGACGGACACCTGGAACCTCGTCTGCATAACTCCAGGACTGGCTGGTCCTGACGCTGCCTGACTGACAAATAAGACCTGACCACCACCAAGGGCAACCCCTCCAGGCTTTCCCTCCGTACCGTCTCCTCCATCACCCGTGATCGCCACTCACATCACTTGTTTCTGCCTGCAACAGCTCTCATCAGCCGCTGGCGCTGGCTTTGGCTTGTCTGCCAGCGTAGCCAACCTCTCCAACGCCAGACTTTCATTTTTCTTGCCCAGGATATCATTACACACGCAGCCAGAAGATTCACCCCAAACCCCCTCCAGACGCTGTCCTCCAGCCGAGTATTCCTCCTCCAAAGTAGCAATATAACCGACCCCCGCAGGCGTTTTTCGGTCAACTTGACCCGGGAAAGCTCCATGAACTATTGCTTGAAGCAGCCTGCCTTTCATAGTACAAAGCTTGGAAACACAAAATTTGCTGCACACGTCATCAGTTGGCATGTCAGCGCTATTGATGAGCCATGGAAAAAAGATTGACTCTAGTGACGGACGGAGAGACGCTATGGGCAAGCGATAGAGGAATGTCATCCGATGATAGCGCGTGGGAGGGAGCGGTTTTACCATCCCCTTCACCAACAGAGGCAGCTTGGAAAGGGCCGGCCCTGTCAAGATCAGTTCAGAATGGCCAGCTTTCGCCGGTGAGCTCGAGTGTCGACACCGGCTTAGACAGTTCCTCGGTCCCAAGAACCGCACATTCAGCATCCTCATCATGCACTGACGCTTGGAGTACAGAATATGCGGACCGAGACGAGGGAGACCATGAAGCACCGTGGGACGCCTGGGAGCACTCTCAAGACGAAGCCGTGGCAGCCCCAAAACTGGAACCAATGGACGATGATATCAAGTTGGGGGATGTGACAGCAGCTCCGTTGACGCCAATGCAACAACTCGCGCCGCAGCATGCCTCGGAAATGAGACAAAAGCGACCACGGGGCCGGCCGAGAAAACATCCTCAACCACACGTGGTAAATGCGAACAAAGTCACAAAGGGCCGCTCCAAAACAGGATGCATTACTTGTCGGAAGAGGAAGAAGAAGTGCGATGAGGCCAAACCACGATGTAGGGCGCTACTGGCTTGCCGTTATCTTTTCTTACCTCAAAGTGTATAACCTGACCCTTACTAATTCGCCTGGTTGATTCTTAGGCATGAATTGTGAGAAGAACGCAGTAGTCTGTGAGGGCTATCACGAAAAACAGATATGGAAGAGCGGTAAAGAAAAGGCCGAAGAAGGTAAATCATGAAACGAGATCGAGCTTGACGCACCTTTTGCGATCTGTCCAAGCTAATATTCGTTGCCAGAGCGTATGCGACAGGAGTCCCAGCCCACTGTCACGATGCAGCCAATTTTCCATGGGGTAGAGACGGCAGAGGACACGATTTTTTGGAAACATTACATCAACCGTCTCAGCAACGTCCTAACAGTTGAAGGCGAAGCGAAAAATGCCTTCAAAGACATCATCTTGCAACTTGCAAATCAGCATCAGGGGCTGATGCACTCTATCCTGTCTGTAAGCAGCAAGCACATCGACCTAGACTCACCATACGGAGCAAAAACACTCCAAGACAATCCTGCCGCTACCCCAAAGTCTCTGCAACAGAGAGGCGACTATCACCACGACGAGGCATTGAGGAGACTTTACGAAGACATGGAGAACCCTCTGCCCAAGGAGGACCCAGCACATGACACAGTCCTTGCTGCTCGATACGGACAAATACTCTGTCTGCTTCTGCAAACGAGAGCTGAGGGAAACCCTAGAGGCGAGCATCGGGTCCATCTGCAAGCATACCAGACCCTGATACAACACTCCCCGCCGGCAAACCACACATTTCATACGTTTATAACCGAGTTCTTTCAGTATCACATATACGCCGACGACCTTTTATGGCACTCCGGGGCCAACTCAAGCCGTCTGTCATCAGACTCGTGGGGGTCTCCCGCGCAGATTCACCCACCTCGGCTGATCGGGGTCGGAGACGGGCTGTTCCGTTGCCTTTCACAAATCACGACGCTGCGGAATGTCATCAGAGAAAACGTGGCCGCGTCAATAGACCCCGTCGTCGACTACACTAGCCTGTATCGTGCGGCCGAGATTGATGCGGCCATTAGAGAGTGGACTCCTCAATGGCCCCTTGGAGACAGCCGCCACAGGGTTGGACCGCTGTACAAGCAAATGATGTGGGTGTACCTCTTCCGGACAATATATCCGCCATCATCGACACGTTCTACTTTTATTCCATTGCCTGGCACTTCACCACAGCAAAACGCGGGCCACTTGCAACGGCGAGCCTCCATGGTTGCCAGTGTTGGCTCGTCGACGAGCTCGTCGGCGATATTGTCCAACTTGACATCACTGGCAGGCTCCTGTACGGCACAAAGCTGCCCGTCCTCACGGAACCCCTCGCGCACGAGCTCAATGCATGAGCAGGACACACGCCCACCTGCCGGTGCGGAGCGCCAGGATGTCCATAAACAATCGTCCCCTCCGCCAGCAAGAAGGCCGGCACAGGACGATGGTCGGATTACTCTGGCCGTGGAAGAATCCCTGGCTATTCTTGAATCCTTCAAGCCGTGTGATCCGGCTCAAACGCTTCTGTTGATACCTTGCACTGTGATCGGCACTGCTTGCTTCGACGCTACCCAACGCGGGCGAATTCGAGCGGCGGTCAAAGTTATTCGTGGATACACAGGGCTACGAAACTCTGACCGCGTCATGGAGCTGCTGGAAGAAGTCTGGTCTCTAATGGATCAGGGTGACTGGGTTTCCGTATGGGATTGGCAATTCGTTGCAAAGAGACTTGGGCTCGATTTCCTCTGTGCCTGAAGACAGGACAGATTGTGAAGTGATTGATTCATTTCATTGTAGCGATCAAGTATACGAACACAAGATGATACCGGCTGCTTACGTGGTAATATACGCATGAGTATTGCCTACAGTCATTGGAATTACATCAGTCAGTTGCTTCAAGCATATGTGAAGCACGTATGGACGATTGCGTTTTATTCTACAATTTGTATTTCTGCCCCCTCTTTTTTTTTTCCCGTTGTCTTGTTCCTTCCTCGGCACAGAAATGGTATCTCCTGGAACTTCTGGCATGATACCATGGCGTCCTCACTGCCGACAAGTACACATTTATACGTTGAAATACGCACAAGCGTACAGCATCTGGGTTATTTGGTGGCTATATGAGACATCTCAATTTGAACAGAAAGCAAGATCTCTGTTTTCACAAACATCTTTCTTCCGCTGGACTTTTTTTTTTTTTTTTTCGGCGGTTTGGCAATTGTTGCAAGCGACGGGCAGCAAGAGGCGCTTACATTCACCCTAAGACAACTTCTTTGCGCCGCAGGTATTGGCGGTTTCTAGATACTTGTGAAGCGGATGTGGAAGCATTTGAACTATATTGTGGAGGGCCGGCGTTGAGGCTTCTTTCCTGCGGCTGGTTGGCGTGCGATGCATCGCGTCTATACTGATTACCGCAACACGAACAAGATGGTGGTTTTGCTGCACGTACATTTTTCAGTTCTCGCGCAGTCTGCCTCTTTTCTTCCTTTCTCTCCCTTTTTTTTTAAAACTTCATTTTGCCTACCTCGTGGCCAGCTATCTGGGTTCTGTCATCACCCCCGGACCGCTGTTGCTCGCTTCATGATGCAAACCAAGTTTTTATGTACCACAGGCTCAGGGGCAGGCAGGCAGGGCGTTGCATCTCGTGTTCTGACCATGTTCGTTTTTGATGAATGAAACAAACTTTTAACGGCCTCAAATTGGAGTATAGATAGTCCAAGTGATTTAAACAACAATGAGTAGGACGAGTTGGGAAGCTGCGGCTATAATTGCTGGTGGTTGACAGCCATTTCTTTGGCATCATCCTCGACGATCAGCCCATCCTCATGACCGCTCGCGGGCATTGCACTTGAGGGCCAGGGGAACGGTCTGGTTGATGAAAGCTTTGCCGCCAACCTTGGCCGGGGATCCTGTCGGCCAGGAGTCCAGGACAGCCCTCGACCAGACGCTTTTCGGCCAAGCGTGCTGCTTTTCGATCGGGGGTATCTTGGTGGACAGGAAGAAAATGGACGGCCGGACACGACTGTGACGGGCATCGATGGATCAAGCACAAGCACAAGCAATTCACGGCCCCCAGTCACCATCCGGCCTTGGCTGGATTCAGCCGTGGCCGTGCTTGTCAACAATTAGATTTGAAAGCTTAGACAGCAATACTGTGTATGTCAACTCGCATACAAGCAACATACAGGACAATCCCAAGATGAAAATATTTCCGTCGGACAGTTACACTTTGCGCCGGGAATACCAAACAAACATTCGCTAGCACTGAACCAAGACACAGACAGACCCTGACATGGCTCCTTTGACCGGTGACTTGTGACAGACGAGAGCTCTTCATCAGTCGGTGGTAACACGGCTCCGCCTTCCAAGGCCTGGGTACCACTCTGCTCTCTCCGGATTCCTGCCTCAATCGTCTCGCTTATCTCCTTCAAAGTAGAATTTGCCGAGGGGCTGCCCTCCGATCCCTGGGTTTCCGAGCCCTGATGGACCTGCTCCAGCCTCGCCCCTGTCCAGCGGCTGGACAATTCTCTCAGCAGACTCCCTGTTGTTGGGGTGTCTTGCTGTGGGAAGAGGCCCACGGAAAGTGGTATCTACAAAGTTGTCTTGTTCTGTGAGCATTCCACGGTGCGGAGCATCAGCAGCAACCCCATCCATCATCCGAGCATCTCGTCTTTCCTGGACGGCAGAGGCGCTCATGGGTGTGTCGCCGCCGCTCGTCGGGGTGTCTCTGTCCCTGCGGTAATCGCTCATTCCCGAGCTTGTCCGCTCCAGGTTCCACGCTTGGTGCGCGGCCGACGCCCCCGGAGGCGGGCGGCGGTGGTAGATGGGGCCAGAGACGGTGCTGCCGGCGCCTTCGCCGAATCCCACGAGGGACGCGGAGCCGTCGTCGCTCATCCTATCCTCGTAGCCACCGAGAGATCGAGTCGCCATCATGTCCATGTCTTCGTCCATGGCATCAGGCTCAGCGCCCATGCTGGCTACCGAGTCGGCCTCGCGGTAGTTGGTGTCGGTGCTACACATGTCCTCGTCGCGCTCTCCGGCAGTCGTCCGGTTGTCGTCGCCAACGTGACTCTCCGTGGCGCTCGCTGAGCCAACGGTGCTCATCTTGGTGACCGCAACCGGCTGGCCATTGCTGTCGAAGTATGAGGGCGTCAGGTTGTGCGTGGTCGGGAAGTTTGGTGGAAACCCGACCCCCGTTGTTGACGTGGGAGTGGTCTGGGGAGAAAGGGAAGATGCTCCTCCTCCTCCTCCTCCTCCCCCTCCTCCTCCTGCTGCTGCTGCTCTTCCTCCCCCTCCGCCTCCTTCCCCGGCAGGCACGGGGCCGGGACGGAGCGTCGACACTCGCTCAAGCCCAGCGAGGCGCGATATTCGGTCTGCTCGTTCGGCCTCGAGGCTGGTGGTGGACGGATTGTGTTGATGCCCGCGACCTAGCGGGCCGGAAGCAAAGTGGCCTCGATGGCCGTCCTTGATAGCAGTCGTAGACAGCGCGGACAGTGACGTCGTCGTGCTGGTGGGCGTCCCTCTACACCACGTTAGACGGTTAGCCAACTCTATCGACCACGGCCGGGTGAGGCAATGAAGTGCGACACCGGCCATGAACTGCAAGACGGGCTGCGTGTGCGTACGGCATCTCAGACGGCGTTTCGGGATTCGACCCCGGCGGGGGGAGGTTGATCAGAGTCGGATGAGAGGCTTGCGACATGGTGGCCGCCGTGGGTGCGCCGTCCGTCCCAAGGACGCTGCGCTGCGGTGGTTTCTGTGGCCGCGTCGGCGATGGCGCGGCAGCGCTCGAGTCTTGACTGATGCGAGGCGAAGCAAACCGAACCGGGTCAGTGCTTCGGCTGCTCGTGGTGAAGCGCTGATGAGTTCAGTCCTGGGCGCCCGGCGTGACGATTGAATCGGTAGCTGCGAGCGGATGGACGATGGAATATGAGAGAGGAGACCCGCTTCAGAGATTGTTTCGTCGGGGCGCACTCTATGCTCCGTCGAAGCGCGGCGTTTCTTGCGAAGGGACTTGCGAAGACGGCCATGAAGAGTTGTGACTGGCTGCCTGGCCCGGCTTGTACAAGGTCACTGGTACCGAGTACTCCATGCGTTACTTACTTAAGGTACTTTACTCCATGCCCTCCGTACTCCGTACTGGCTGGCCAAGAGAGCCTGTGTGCGCGCACAGACGCCTGGCAGGTGCGCAAGGGCGCTCCTTCCAACCCACCCCAGGCTCGGAGCACGGCAGGCAGGACCACTCGAGGACCGGGCACGCCAATGACGTAGCCAGCTGGCACAGTCATTGGCAGCGTTGGAACCTTCAGACTTCAGGTGGCAGGCACCAAGAGCGTACAGCTGTCCAATTGCCGCAAAATGCGCCTCCCCGCAGTCGTTCAATTCGACCTTTTTTCTCTGTCAAGCACACCATCTATCCTGTCAACGGCTTCGGAGCTGCCTTTTGCCAGACCACAGCACAAGGGCACGCGGTCCATGTTGCATCTTCTTCTTTTCATCATCATTGCTCGATTCGAGGCTACATGCAGCTACTGATGGGCCGTGTCTCATGCAGGGCCACCTTGACGCCCCGCGCGCTTTCCGTGAAAATCTTGACTCTCTCCACGAACTCGACACACAGATCGCGGTTTTCCATCACGGCAAATTCCTGTGCTAGTCTGACCAACAGGTAAATAGACTGTGTCATGACCTGCTGCTGGGCAGGACATATCCTGGGGCCGCCTGAAAATGGCACAAATTCCCACTTCGGCGCTTTACCCTCGAATCGACTTGGCCGAAACTCATTGGCATCATGACCCCAGATTTCGGCATCGTGAAGATGGGCGTAAAAGTCAAGCGACACCACCGTGCCTTTGGATACGAACACGGGACTGCGACCTTGCGGCCCTCCGCCTCGAGGAAGGACGGTGTCACGAATCGCCGTGCGGCTTATTCGGCCGGATGATCCGTGCAGCCGCAGAGCCTCCAGCACCGTGTATCGGAACAAGGAGAGCGACCTCAGGAGCTCAAAGCTCAACTCTTGATCTCCCAGTGCAACTGCCTGCTTTCGAAGCTCTGCCCAGAGGTCTGAATTGCGAGCAAGATGAAAGAGCGTATTTGAGAGCACAACCGCAGTGCTTTCAAACGCTGGCAAGAAGATGTTCATCATCTCGTATCGTAGCGTCACTGGGTCCCGGACATGCTTTGCCAATTCATCAAGGAGCACGTAATGCCATCTTGACTGGCCGCTACTTTTCTTCCCGTCTGCCGTGTTTGACTGGGCGCCTGCTGCTAGTGCACGGGAAACTTGACGATCCACAAAGGCATGGATCTTGTCGATGTTCTCATCTACCGTGTCATTGAATAGAGATCCAAGTTCCACAAAGGCATGTCGGCGTTTGGTCGTACCTATCAAGGCCTGAGAGAAAGCTTCCATCAACTCGTCTCCTTGGGCGGCATTCTCATCTAACGAGTCGAACGACTTCCCAAAAACGAATTCCGTCCCACTATCCAGAAACTAAGAAGCAATCAGCGTACTCATCCACAATCATTGTAATGGGGTGACAGACCATCGAAAACAAGTGGTCAAAAGCTTGGGAAAATCACGAAAATACTCACTAGCTTGCACACAAGTGGCTTCAAATCAACAGTGCTTCCATCCCGGGGTATCAAGGAAAGCATGCGGTCAACATGTTTCTTGAAGCGATCGACGTCGCTCAGTTCTGCGCGCAAGAACAAGGGTTTCAGCGTATCGCGTGAATGTTTCCAGGCCGGTCCATCCTTGGTAAATATCCCATGACCGATGAGCCTCAAAATAGGTCTGATCCGAACCGTTTGTTTGTCATAATCTTCAAAGTTCACAGCAAGCATGGCTCGGAAATTGTGCGAGTCCATGGTGGCGACTGTCTTTCCAACAGGCGACCGTTCTTCGATTGTTCGACCATGCTGGGCAAACTTTTCCAGGTAAAACTGGTTGTATTTGCCTGACAAAAGGGCCTCAAATCTCTTGCACTGCAAATCTTTACCTGACGGGTCTAATATCCACGGAAGGCGATGTGGATATCGGTTTGCTGCCTCACAACCCAGTTGTCGAGCTCGGCGACGCTGACGCCACTTCAGGAAGAGGCTGTTCACGATGGGGATGGCGACAAGCGAGCACGACACCACAATCAAGCGGACAAGAAACATTCTTCACCTTGCCGGCTCCGCGTGCAAGCCACAGGAAGATGTTGATTCGACTCGAGAAGGGTTAGGAAGACCACAGTCCCACAGCCATGGGCTTGGAGCAGCTACGAATAGACATACGATTCGAATCCCTCTGTTGCTGCTGGTACCCAAAAGATGCAATGATTCGCTTTTGATGACCAACAGCTAGCTACCGCGCGTCCAGAGTCGTATCATAGCCCAGGGCTGAAACAAATGCGGGCAGACGCCGATTTACGTGCAGTGCAGCTCAAAAGCCAATCATCCAGGGGTCTCAGCTGCTTGACAGAAGTCCCTTGGGCCCGTACGGGAAAGCCGGGTTTCGGATGCAAATTTGCGGCCATCCCATTAGACCATCGGCGCTGTCATTGCCGTGGCCGCCGCCCAAGGTGGTTTGATTTGTGATATCAGCCAAGTTCCGCCGCGCCCGTCAGGTGAAGGACACAGGCCATGAAGTGCTCCTTCGAATCATGGTTTCAGCCGCTTGATGCGTGGTACACGAGTAGTCGGGAAATTTCCCTTGTTTTCGCGTCGATTTTCCCGTCATCCCCCGCGACAGGCGCCGGTCACTCCGAGACCTAAGATGACCGTCCACAGAGCAGCACGAGCCGCAAAGAGGTTGGTGTTCAGCGCAAGGATATATTACTCTGCCTGCAGCCGGGCATCTGGGAAGCAGGGATCTGGCGGCGTCGGCGGTGGCGAGTATTTTTCTCAGGTTGCTCAGGATTTCAAGCCCGGCCCGAGAAGGGGGACCGCCCTTCCATTGCATGCTGCCCCAAGGCCTTGATGTTTCTGGACTCGCCGGTTTCCATTGTAGTGTAGCCATCGGGTCTGCGGGCACATGTCGCGATAAGCTACTTCACAACATGGCCGAAAAATTAGTCTCGTCCTGCAAGAAGCCTTGCAGCAGCGTACTCCAATCCGGCACTTGCTGCATCTCCTCCAACACTGCCGCATCGCTGATGTCGACGAATTTGCGGCCTGTCGATGCCAGCACCGTGTGGTCAACGCCAGCGCCGGCAGGCGCCACGCTCATTGGCATTCGACTCCCATGGCCTCTCTTCTCACGACCATCCCGTGGTATGGACGCCGCGGCACGGGCCAGTAGCGCTTTGAAAATCGTCCACTTGGGTCCCCGAAAGACAGCCGGGCCCGTCTTCTCCATCGCCTTGACGCATTGCTCCACAGAATTAAAGGCCTAGGGCGCAAGACATGCTCGGCCGCAGGCAAATGTTCCACAGAATGAACAGCATCAAGTGGTACTGCGGGTATGATCGCATCGACCAGAGATACGGACGCATCAGCTCGTCCTGCAGCATGCGCTCCCCTTCCTCAAACAGGCCAAGCGCCTCGAGGAGCGTCTCCTCGGTCGCCAGAAGCTCCTGCTGTTCCGGGTGGTGCTGGGCCTCCCACTGCTGGCGCGTGACAAAGTCTAGTTTTCGGGCAATGAAGCGACTAACGATGATGGTGAACTTTTGCAGAGGTACGACGGGGTTGCACTCTTTGATGAGGCCCTCGATGGTTTCGAACAGTCTCGCGACGATGCGATCTCGAGCCTCGTAGGGCGGAGGTGCCGAAGGGCTCGCCCATGAAAGGTGGAGGATATCAGCCCATGTTTGGCAGATGCGAATGTTGGCGAGGGATGAGAGCATGCGAGTCCAGCCCTTGCGGGGTGGCGGTAGCTCCTCCATGTTCGGATCCAGGTCGCTGTCCTCGAGGTTGAGCGGGAGTTCTGTGCCGCCAGAGAGGATGACGTTGGGCGTGGGGAAGTCGTGCAGTCCGAGATCTTCGGCAGCACGGCCGTCACGGCCCAGCAGATACCACCACAGACGGCGGCGGATTTCGGATTCGAACGGCGAGAGGCCGAGATTCTTGCCGTCGCGGTGGAGGCCAATGGACCGGGCGATTCTGATGGCCAGGCCATTCAACGTCCAGATGGCGCGGCCTGTGTTGTGGACTCGCACTGCGGTCTGGCGGGCACGAGTTAGGAGCAGGGCGAGGCCAGAGGAGAGCGAGGCTACGACGTACAAGGTAGATTGCCACAGCCTGTAGCAATACGACGGTAGGGTTCTCCAGCAGATCGGCCTGGGCAAAGCTCTGCTCGAGTCCGGCTTTATACCTGTGCAGCGCGCTCGCCCAGGACTCGCCCAGAAGCCGCGGACAGTCTTCCCTCTCGTCAAGAACAACAGTTGCAGCATAGTACACCGAGTAGGACAACGCCAACGCCTCGGGCGAAGCTGTTGACGGGTCGTTGATGACGGTGTACACTAGGACTTCCGAAGTTGGAATGTGTAGAATTTTGAACATGCAGTCGACGTTGTCTTTGAAGAGCCCCCAGAGTTGCACAGCTGTGTGCTTGGAGGGGTGGAAACTCGAAGCAGGATGCGACAATAGCGGCGTCGACAGTATTCCCATGGGGTTGAACGGCGATGGGACATGTGCCTGCGACAAGCCATCCGTTCTTGGTGTAGAAAGGGCGGTTCGGACGTCGCTTTCCTGCGATGCAATTCTCGGTCAAAGACAGACTCACGGCTTACTACAACGAGCTTGGAGCCCATGCGGCCAAGCCGACGCTCTACGTACCTGCCCGACGACACGCGAGACGAGAACCTCGTTGAAGTACTGAGTCGACGAGCCCTTCTCCAGCAATATCTCTCCTCCAGGATGGGGACTGCCAACGGGCGCCAGCGAGCCCCCCGGCGTTGCAACGGCGGATGTGGCCAAGGGACTTGCGTGAGGACCAGCAGCCGCCGTTTTGGGCGAGTCTGCGAAACGGTCGCGTGGGCGCGACGCCTCCCGCACGGGGATGGAGGTCAGCGTCTCCTCCAGCTTCGATATTCTCGTGGCAACATCATCGATAGTGGCCTTGCGCACCCTGGGAGCCCTCTGCTGCTTGGGCGGATAGGAGCATGCGTGTCCGCCGCGAGAACATGGCGTGCAGGGGCACTTCTTGTCGCAGCGAACCTTGCGTCGACGACAAGTGGCACAGGATCTTTGTGTGACCGTGACCGAAGAAGCTGGGGTCGGGGTTCGAGGACGGTCTGAGGTCTCAGGTGAGGCGGAGTGGCCCGACATGGCTCCGGCGCTGCTGGCGGCGTTGGGAGCTTGTTGCCGGCGTTGAGCTGATGAGCAGCGAAATCCAGCGAGCATCGGTTGACGTCGAGAGGTCGGCCTCGGTGGTTTTATACCCACCGACGACCGAGAGTCAGCCCTACGGAGTACCAGGCTACCGCCACCACCGGTAGCTCCCTGCTTCCGCGCCGAGTCTCACCGACCTGCCAACAGGCTGCATGCGTCTCCACATCTCCACCCTTGCCTGCATCCCTCCTACCACCGAGCGGCCGAATCGCCGAACCGCCCCATTGGCCCACATGCCAACAATAATAAGCGCGTCGACGCACGACTTTGACAGCTTTGGCTTTCGATCAAGGTTTTTTATTTCCCTCGCCAGGACAATTCATACCCGTTTTCCTTGCTGCGGAGATGCGGAACCGCGAGGCGTTTAACCCCGATCACGAGTCCCGGCATACCAGGACCACATGTATCACCGGGCCAAGTCGATTTGCCCTTGGGGACAGAATTCCTCCTCCTCGTATATAGTATACGTAACTGCTGGCCGTGCCTGTGCCTTCTTTTCCTTTTCCACATTGTGAGAAACTCGTGGTCAAGCTCATTTCAACTCAAGACCTGCGGGCCGTTACGCCATACGTGACTATTTCACCTTCATCTCGAGCGATACTGACCGAGGCTTCGTCATGTCCGCGCCTTCGACTGAGCAAAGAGCCTCTTCCAGTGGCTCCCTGTCCTCCGTGACTGTTGCGCAACATGGAGGGCGTGGCCAGGGCGTGAATGATCCATATCCCGGGGGGAAATCAGACGGCGAAAAGGCACTGCCTACTCACGAAGCGCCAGTTGCTGCGGACGGGGGCACGACTGCTTGGTTGGTCGTTCTAGGGGCATGGTGTGTCTCGTTTTGCAGTTTTGGCTGGATCAACAGTACGTGGACTGCCTGCCCGTCACCCTGCACAGGTCTGGTGCCGGTGACGATGCTGACGTTGGGCCAGGCATCGGCGCCTTTCAAGAATATTACCAGGACACGCTGCTGTCGTCATACTCTGCCAGCACCATCGCTTGGATCCCGTCGCTGCAAATCTTCTTCATGAGCGCCATGGTCCGTACTCACCATCCTCTCCCGCGTTGCCTTCGGATGCGGCAGCACTGACAAAGCGCAGGGCCTCGTGGCGGGCGTTCTCTACGACAGACACGGTCCTCGGCAGCTCCTCCTCGTCGGCAGCTTCCTCCACGTCTTCGGCCTCATGATGTGTTCCCTCGGCACGCAGTACTACCAGATCCTGCTAGCTCAGGGCGTCTGCTCGGCCATTGGAGTTGCCATCATCTTCCAGCCATGTACGTCAAACGCTGCCAACGGCCCACGCCGTCCCCCATTCATTCCTCTACCGTCGAGAACCTAACTGACGTGGCACGCGTCTCAGCAATCAACGTCATCCACGGCTGGTTCGACAAGAAGCGCGGCGCAGCGTTCGGTATCCTCGCAACCGGCTCCTCCTTGGGCGGCGTCGTCTTCCCCATCATGGTCTCCCGCCTCATCCGCCAGGCAGGCTACGCCTGGGCGATGCGAACCTGCGCGTTCCTCATCCTTGCCCTCCTCATCGTCGCCAACCTCACCATCCGCGCCGCCCACCCGCCGCGCCCGCAAAAGCTCACCATGGAGCGCCTCGCAAAGCCGTTCTTCGAGTTCGACTTTGTCTTCTTGTGCGCGGGCTTCTTCTGCTTCTCCTTTGGCATCTTCGTGCCCATTGACTACCTTCCCGTCCAAGCGCTCGACGCCGGCGTGGACCCCAACTTGGCCCAGTACCTGCTGTCCATCCTCAACGCCGGAAGTCTCTTGGGGCGCTTGTCTTCAGGGATAACGAGCGACAAGATTGGCCGGTACAACATCTTCGTCACGGTTTGCGCCCTGACAGGTATATGGGCTCTTGCGCTCTGGATCCCGAGCACCAGCACTGGGGGCATCATTGCGTTTGCCGCGCTATTTGGTTTCTGTAGCGGTGCGTACGTGTCGCTCATTTCGCCGCTGGTTGCGCAGATTTCGCCGTTGCGGGAAATCGGCTTCCGGACAGGCATCATCTTCTTTGTTTCGTCTATTGCTGGGTTGACGACAAATCCCATCAGTGGCGCCATCTTGGGAGGTGACAAGAATTGGATCGGCGTCAAGGTGTTTGCGGGCGTGCTCTGCTTGGCGGGGACCATTTTGGTTCTCACTGCAAGGATTCACAGGACGGGATGGAAGCTGGCGGTTGTGTTTTAAAGCCTCCCTTTTGTGCCTTCCTTCATATGTCGCCCTCACGTGTTTGGAGAGAACATGGAAAAGGGTTCAAACCTGAACATCGGGAGGGTTAGCATGTACTTGGTGCATTTAGACTGGGGACCGGGAGGCCTTGGCGAAGGCTCATTTCGTTAATTGTATGGTGAACTTACTACTCCACTACTCGTTAAGAAACAACTCAATTCCCAAGCGTGTTATTTCCCTGTGATTTCCTCTCCGTATGGGAATCCTCCTCCACAGGATGTTTAATCAAACTCTCATAGAGCTGCAGATAGCTCCCAATCAAGAAAGCCCACGAGCCCCTGGCACCAACTTTGTTAGAAGATTGCTGTGTGTTCAAAACCCGACTACGTGCAACACTTACCAAAATGTGGCCAGTGAAGCCTGGTACTGTGCCCCCGGACTCCCATGTGCCATTCCCAAGGCACCGCACAACGTGAACCCAAACGCTCCGATGAGATTCCAAAGCGCGACATGCCACCCCAGCAGATGCGGTGCCGGCTTCCACCACTTCTCTTGCGTCTCCAGCATGTACAGGGTGCTGCTCGCAATAAACCCGCTGCCGCCAATGACTTGTGGGATCCAGTAGGCGGCGTTCAGTCGCCATTGTGGAGTGAGATGGTCGATTACACCTGGTAGGGCAGTAATGCCAGAGATGCCGAACACGGTCGCGCCAAAGAGCTGGGCCAGGCCGGCGAGGAAACCCAATTCGTGGAGGTAGTGAATGCGGAGGTCGTGCCGCGACGGAAACCATTGCCAGTGTCGCGCGGGTTCAGCGCTGCGAGATATCTGGGAGAATACCGCAGAGGGGGATGACTTTGGCTTACCCACAAGGTTACATTTATTTTGATGATGGTGTCGACAATCATCCCGGGTCGCAACTAACTTTACCTTGCATGTGCCGTTGCCCTGTTCGAGCAACTGCTCGACAGCCCAGCCAAAACATCCCGTGTTATTCGCATTGATCGCTTCAAACACGAGCAAGATGGAGCCGACCTCGAAAAAGACGATCGCACCGATGAAGGCCGTGATTCCGCCGCCGTAGTACGACTCTCCTGGAAACTCGGTTCCGGGGGCAACCAGTGGAAGCCAGGCAAAAAAGCCCTAGAGTCTATCAGTCAGCCATCCCTCGCTCGGGGTTGCATAACACCATCACCAGATAACTACCAGTTGTAGAGATGGGAAACAGGGGCGTACATTGATAACCCAGACCACACTCCCCCAAGTAAATGCAGAACCCACCAGCCATGAAATATCCCACACCGGAAAAAGTGTAAACGTCCTGACCACATTCTTCACAACTTCCCTCGGATCCGACGTCCGCCTTGGCGTCAGGAAAGGCGCATCCTCACCCTTAAATGCCGGTTGGACGAGTAAAGGATGTCGTCCCTTACGGTTATCTCGCGGTCGCCACAAGAACCTGACACTCTTGGCAGGGGCAGTGTAGTCGACTCGTCTTGCCCGTCGCTTGAGGCGCGCATCGTCGTTGCTCTCGTGCGGTGTAGCAGCCGCTGATCTAGGGCAGAGCTCTGCGTGGTCGAAATGGGCTCTTGTTGGATTGATCGAGCTAAAAGGTCCCTCGACGCGGCGGAGAGTCAGTTTGTCGTCGTGTCGGAACGGTTCTCTCGAGCAAAAGTGTCGATTTCGGGATGGCATGACAGCGACGGAATCTCTCGTCGCGACAGACGAGAGATATCTGTGGGTGGCAGACCGCTCGGTCGCTCAGTGAAGTGTTTCGCCGCAACATTAATTGGACTGAATGTCCCATCGGAGGAGTGAGAAGCCGTTCAAATGCTGCTCCCGGAATGATTCGAGCCGGAAGTGAGATGCCGAGGACGAGATTCATGTAGTTATTTGGTGTGGGGCAATGCGGAAGCTGCATCCTACCGAGGATCCTTCCCAACTTGGACGCCGCACTGGCAATTCACTCCGAGGCATGGCGTCCTTCAGGATAAGTGCCATGAGTTCGGCATTGTGCAGACACGAAGACTTCATATGCAACCGAGTTGTGTGCTGTAAGTAAAAAAATGGAATTTGTTTTCTAAGAAGAAATCACGACAAAGGAACGCGACAAATGAACAATATTTATATCGCGACAAGCATCGATGCATCAGTGGTATCATCCATGTCTTTTTATGAGGAATACAAGACAACGAACAAAGAAAAAAAATGCAAGGAGCTGAACGGCTTCCAACGCAATCTCATCTCCTGGTTATTTCTATTACCATTTCTTCAAACCCAGTCTCTCCTTCTTTCACCAGCATCAAATAACGTTCCCCTCGCAGAGTGCTATCGCGCTGTCCAGAAAACTTTCATATTGTAACCAGCTAAAAGTCGTCGACAGGCACCAAAGGCCAGGTTCTAGCTGCGTAAATGCAAATGCTTTGCCGACTCTGCACTTGGTCTCATGTCGACATCGGCTCGACCCATGTTGAAAATTCCCATTTCGCTCGCTTCAGTTGTCAAATATGATGCTGCGCCATGCTGTGCCGTAAAATACAAATACTGAGGGGTTGGACCAAGTGACAAAAGAAAATACGTCTCGACGCAATGAAAAGGGGATCAATGTCATTCTCGAGCCAAGCTTAATGGAAAGCAGCAGAATTGAAATGTCGCCGTGACCTAAACCATGCGCACACCACTGTCCTGCGTCTCCTGGTCCTTGGGCAATGGAGGCAGGGTTTTGTTCAAGCTTTCCTTGCTAAGCTTCGGCCGCAGATTTTGGCCATCGGATTTCAAGGGCGGCGGCGGCGGGCGTTCTTTGGAGGGTGTCGGCGGTGGAGGTCCAGTCGGCGGCGCTGAAATAGCGGCACTGCCACTTCTGACTCTGTTCGACCTATCCCATAGTGGTTCTGCCTCGTTACGGCTGCCCTCAGCAGCTTCCTCAACTACTGGCAAGATCGGCTCATGCTGAAATGACTCGCGCTTGTCAGGAGAGCTGACGGTTGTCAGAACCCTGTCTGGTACGTCTGATTCCGCTGCGCCGCTCAGTTCGGTCCGCCTGGCTTCTCTCGATGCCTTCTCCATGGTTTCTCGCACTTCTGCTGACAAACCACTCTCTGGCGGCGCTGGCGGGAGATGAGAAGGCATTGGGGGGACTCCATGGCTGTGCCTTTGCGCTGCATATCGTTTTGCTGACTTGTCTGTGGACACCCTCCCTTCGGCCGCTTCCTGCTCCTTTCGCAGAATCTCCCTTCGAGCTTCCTCCGAGGACATGGTGATCCCCTCGACGAAGTTGTAGAATCGGTCACCATACTGCTCTGGAGGTAACGCGGAGATTTGTGACCGGTCATGTGATAAACCTTTCCAGAAATGTTCAATCTTTTTGATCATTCCATACTACACACATGGGCATGTTAGTGACTTGGCCATATTGGAAGACGGCTGGTTTTGCCCCAATACTTACGTGTGTAAGGCAGTCAATTACTCCCAAGTAGTAAATTTCATCTGCAGGTTGATTGTTTTCATGGGTCGCCCGAAAGCCCCCGTCGTCCTGATTGAAAACAAAACCGGGACGGGTATGAGAGTCTCCCAACTCATCAGGCATCTTGTCCAAAGCCTGGCCGATGGGAACTGGCCGCTCTGCACGAATCTTTTCTCTCAGCTCTCGAGCCTTTCGAACGTTCTCCATCTTGGACGGTGTCCTCATAATCACCGATGGCGGATCGTCATCGGCCGTTTTCTCGACGCCGGGGTTGAAGACCTGTAGAGTCTTGTCACGCAAGTTCTCCTCGTTCCCGCGTGATATGTCGTGAATACCAATGAGTAGTGAATAGTCCATAATCTGCAATCGTTTGAGCAAGACAACATCCTTCTGGAGTTGCTCCAGAAAAAGCTGCTTCTTCTTGATACCTAACTCCAAGTGTTTTTGCCGTCTCAACCAGTTCAGATCCTTCAATGTCGCTCGAGGATTCTTTCCCAGGTCGTCTTCCCTGTAGTCTCTGCCAATAGTCGAGCCCTTCAAGTCGAAAGTGGTGTGTATATCTCGGTGAGGCGGAAATAAGTTATTCATGACAACAAAGTGGATCTTCTTGCCATATGGCATCTTAACCCGATGAAGGCCATAGAACTGTGAAAGAAGTGTATTGGGGTTATTTTGAACGTGGTTGTAGTAATCCCTGAGAGTTTTCCTCAAGAATTTATGCTCAGAGTGGTGAATCGTCTTGATGATATATTTGTAATCTCTGGAAAAGTAAAAGAAACTGCCGCTCTTGCCCGGGGAGCCGAGCTCAGAAAGAATATATTTTCCAGTCAACGACATGAGGTAGTCGGCGGGGTCGAGACGGAACAAGGCACGTAAACGTCGGAACACCCAAGGCGCATAGTCTTTAAACTTGAAATCGTATTTGGCAGAAGGGACCAGCTCGTTGCCAGTGCTATGGGGAGGGGGGTCAGTACCACTTCCGGCCTGTGTCCAAGGAGGGGCGTTGCCTATCAACTTACATGTCGAACGTTGACTTTTGCTTTGCCTCAAAATCGGCATCAGTGAGTTCACGATCAAGCTTAGCATTTGTTCTCGAAACAGACACTCGGATCCCGGTAAGCATGTTATAAGCCGTGACCCAGTTGGCGTGGCTCTCATCAACTTTCGTGCCGACCAAAACACGATCATCGTCTTCCTCCTCCTTTCTTTTCCGTTTACTAGCCCGCTTCTGGCGGTAGGCCTCGGCCCAACGGATAGCATCCTCATCGGGCAGAATCTCATCTCGAGGTGTATCAGAATGCATGGATCGAGTTGTCCTCCGAACTAGGTTTAGTGAAGCACGGCGATGTCCGATCGGAGCCACAGATGGAGAGAATCGTCCACTGGCGTGTGCAATGTCTGGTCCATCTCTAGATCCTCGGGCGGGAGAAGGCTTCGGTATCTCAAGAGTATGTCTCTGCTTTATGGACACGGCGCTTGGGAGTTGAAGGAGTCCCGACGGTGAGGTGGTCAAAGGCGAGCCACCTGGTTGGTATGCTGGAGGGGACGAGAACCGATGTGGCGAAGACTTTTGTGGCACAATCTCAGGAGCTGGCAACGCCTGTGTTGCGGCAGGTGTTGCCTGACCTTCATGGTCGTTCAAGTCAAGTTCTGGGGCTGAACCTTGTGATATATCCGAGTCTCGGGGACTGGTTGCACCACCGTGGGTCCATTGCGCAGGCTTGTGGTCATGAACTTGATGCTGATGCTCGGCGACAGGAGAGCTAGGGGCAATTGGCTTTCGATGCAAAGAAGACGCATTTTCTGTTGAAGCTGAGTTTCCATTGCTGCCCGATGTAGGTGGCTTTGGAGCGGTTCGATCTGGGAGACTTAAAGCGCCGTTTGGTATCGTCTTGATGGTGGAATTTCCACATGCCTCTTCCACGTTGGAGCCATTGATGCCATTGGCGAGCGAGCTGATGCTCGTCGGCCTGGTGCCGTTCCCATTCATAGGAATATGGTTCGTGTCTGATGTATCCGAGTCGTGCGTGGATGTAGTGGAGCTCTCGTCGGAGCTCTCGTTGATGGGTTCAGGTTGGGTATGGGCTATTGAATCCCCATTCGCCTCCTTCTTGTCGACTTCGAGGCAAACTTGGTTGTTTGGGTCAAGTTTGACAAGGTCGGGTTCGGTGGAAAAGATGTGCGAGTTGTCGTCGTTAAGGAAGGAGGGCATTTCGCTCAATCTCCCAGCTGGGAAGGGGTCCAAAAGAAGTCCGTTCCCTAGCAGAGAGAGCGCAATGGCAGGTCAAAATCGAAGTGCCTCGGGAAGCTTAATTGTCGAAATCAATTGGATGGTACTCTCAACCCATGCTCACCTGGGCCGAACAACTGATGGTGTTCCAATATTGACAGGTGACGTATCTCGATAGGATGACGGAAGTCAATGGCGGATCCTAAATTCCCCCGATGTCAGGGTCAGGCCAAAATTATGGGAAGATATCGGCGAGATCTGAAGACACCGGTAATGCTAGGGCCGCAGGAGAGTTGACATGGCGTGGAGCTTCAACTGGTTGAGGACGACGGTGACAAAGGTTCAAAACTGTAGACGGTCGACTGTCGGCCACGAGTCCACGACGCCGCGCCCAACAATGGCTCTGCGGACTGACGCCAGCCAGCAGTCCGCAGAAGAGGTCTCCGCGATTTCCAGCAAACGCTTCGATGGAGCGACAGGCACGACAGGACAAAGTAAATACTGATGCTGTTGATTTCGGCGGCGTGCAGGCGATGGAACGAGGACTTGGCGGCGCGATTGCAAAGATGGCTGGCTGGTGGCTCGTGAGTCGTGACGGTCAAACAAACAAATTGACGTCTGGAAATGACTTGGAGTGCAAAACCGATTAACCAAAGTGGTCTGGCGTGGGTTCAGTGTGGCTCAGTGTGGCTCAGAGTGGCCAAGCCAGTCATCTTGGCGCCAGCAGTTGGTTGTTTGGCCCCCTGTTAGTACGTCCAGTGGGCCAAGGTCAACCAGACGCACTCCCTGCCCGTCCGTCATCAGTGGTCGGTACAGTGGAGAGATGCTGGGAACAGGCCGGCATGTCGTCTGGAGCCACCCATTTTTGTCCGGGAGGCCTTGGAGACCCAAGTGCCCAAGTGTGGAACCTGGATGGAGACCTGCATCATGGGATTCAGATTCATTCAGCGCTGTCAGCTAATAATAAGCATTCATCTACCTACTCGAGTGCCTACGTAGGTAGCTATTGCTTAGGGCGCTAATTACTTACAGTGGGGGGTGATAAGAATTCGGCCCCCATCAACAACAATGGAAGCCTGTCAACGGTTGGCCGGAGACTCGGAGAGTGGTCGTGACTTGGGACGGCAAGTGCCTGCTTATTTAAGTTCAAGTACTCTCCTGTACTACGTGAGGTAAGAATCCCCTTCCCACAGCGGTAGCGGTCGACGGGGCTCCCAACTTGCCGCCGCCGCCCCTGCTTACGCCTTGTCAGCACCCTCATGCTTCACCGCGAGTACTTCCCCTTCCTGCCGACCCCGGAGTCGGAGCCACGGGGTCCAGTCGACCAGCCCATGCTGGGGGCGCCCGCCCCCGAGGGCTGGTGGGACGACAGCTCCCGACTCCTCTTCGGCGCGGCAGAGCACATCGCCGCCATTCTACACGAGGCCTCCGAGTGTGGCGTGCATCTCATGACGCCCTTTGCCGGGTTCTGCGCATTCTCAGCCGGCTACCTCAACCTCTACGTGGCGAAATACCCCCGAATGAACCTGGGCCGCAGCCCGCGAGCAAGCGACTGTCTCAAAATGTGTCTCGACTACCTGGAAAAGTTTCGACTTGTCTGGAAAATCGCCGACGGATGGGTAAGCCGCCCGCAAGCATGACACGACCGTGGCCACCGTTGCGCTAACATTGAGAGGGCGGCACGCGCAAGATCAAAACGATACACCATGCATCCGTGCTCTACGAGCGAGCAACCGAGGACCGGACACGATACCAGGGGCGCACACGAGCAGACTTTGATACTCTACACCAGTCTGTCCACGAGTTCCGTGTCGTGGATAGATCCGACGCGCATACTCGGGAGATTCGGGGCGCGGAGCGGCCCTCGGCGCAGGCGACTTGGCCGGTTCAAGGGCACGAGCACGAGCACGAGCACGAGCACGAGCTCGACACTAATACCTTGTTGAACCAGCTTTTCGCGGAAGTCAGCAATAACCTCGACGAGCAGGGGGCCTGGTCTCAATGGTGGCCGGCGATTGATCAGGTGGATCTTTAATGAGCTGCGTAATTACATCCGGGGTTTTTTTTTTCGTTGAAGCTTCCAATGAATGAGTGACGACCTTTGATTTTTTTGATTTTTTTTTTAAAAAGGGCTGTAATATCTGGTTTTCTATACATGTCCTATTTTTATTTCCCGGTCTAGAAAAACAGTCAACAGATAATGCACCTCTTCATATGGCTCCCCTCCCGTCACCGCCAACAAATGCATACCTGTCGCGTCAACCATTCGCCGTTTCTCCTTCCAATCACGCCTTTGCAAAGACCTTTCTCGAGTTCATCAGGCGAACAGCAAGCATAAAGAGCATGCCGACAAAAGGCGCCACAACCACGCCAAGAGGACGTTTTTTGAAGCAGCTAAAAAGGCACGTAAATGGCGTCTGGATTCTGTACTAGATCTACTAGAAATTTGGGACGAGAAGGGTGTACATTATAGGCGAAGAGGTTAATAGCGTTATTAGGTTGAAAATTGGCCCGCCTTGGTGTCCGGCCCGCCTTGCTGTCGAGCACCACCTTTGGTGGTGAGGGCTTTTGCTAGCCGAACCACATAAAGTGGGGCGGGCACGATTAGTACTCCGTAACGACCTCGCAAAAGCAAAAACCAACACAAACACAATCACAGCCTCGATTGTTGGCCGGCCAGATGACATGGAAGCCCGGGTGCACATCGCTCATCGCATGAGGATGACAACAACAGGCTGCTGAGTCGGCCTTGGGTTGTGGTCAGCGACTCAGCGCCAAGTGCAGTACAGCAAACAAACATGGCGCAGGCCACCGTCTGAAGCCTACACCAACACAAATGTCGCACGTGTTAAGTACCTATATAGATGTGCCCAACACATGCAGTGTTGATTTTCTGCCGGATTTGATGCATTTTGAGGCTCAAATACGGAGCGTCAGGATGCCTTTCGCGCATGACTAGTGCATCGAAGAACAAACAACCTAATTCAAATTTGGCCTTGTTGTGGCTTGTCTGTATACGCAATATTTTCACCTTGTACACATGGCAGTGCACTCATCTCCCAGCAGACGATGGAACCATCGAATTAGAAATGTCGCGACTCACGACAGATAAATGCATCAAGGCACCTGTATGATTTCCGAATCAAATATTTAAAGCGACTATACTTCCTAGCCCCATTGCATTGTCGAAATCCCCAAGGAAGGCGCGATGCAACGTGACGCCTTGCAGGGTAGCTACTGTTAGTCCACACAGCCGTTCGTCGCTGCACTTGACCGACAGCTGTGTTTGCGATGCTTCATACCACCAGCTGGCACGCGTATCCTTCCATCCTCCCTTTTCCCCTCTTGCGCTGATATTATTTACATCAACTATGACAAGTTCAGCTGCCATGACGAGGTGAGCCCTTCAGACTCCACCCCATGATGCGCGCTTTCGAGCTTGTACAGCCAGCTAGCTACATTGACACAAGCTGATCCATGTCAAAGTTCGAGCCAACATGATATGTCCTTATCGACTAGTATCAACGCAGACGAGGTTCGAGCTACGTCGCTTCAAATTCCCAAGGCCTCACGGGTGACAACCAACGATTCTACCAATAGCCATCTAGAGCGCAGCGTCATCTCTTGCCCCGAGTTGCGTAAATTTGCCGGCAGCGAATAGGTACGTAGGGCCACCCAGCACTTTCCCAAACGCTTTTGCAACACAGAAGTCGGAATTCGGGTGGTAATCTGTGCGTATTTAGAATGTAATGCACGGCTCCGGGAAACGAGCCACGGGCCGTCGAGTATCAAGATCCTTGCCGCTATCTAAGAGACCGCGGCGTCGCTTTGCTGTTGGGAGAAGCCTAGAATACGGATGGAGGAAACGGCAAAGTCGTCCGAACAAATACTCACCACCATTTGGCGAAGCCTCCATGTTCGGACAAGGCAAAGAACGACGACGTCGAGCGCGTGACTCTCAAGAAGCCTGCAGCTCGTCCGATATGGCTGGTTCATCAAATCACAGTCCACTTGGCACTGAAGCCAAAAGTTCATTGGCAGTGGCCGGCATGATGATGGCTACTGAGGAACTGGACAGGTTGAGTGAATTGGCACGGCATCATGGTGCAGGAGAATGATGGCGCGCTGGGGGTAAAAGCAGACCGGGCCGGATTCTTGTCATTCAAGTTCGCCTTGTTGCGCTCTCGGAATCAGACATAGTTCGGGTATGCCTAGAATATCATGGCTTTCATACGGAACCGAGGGCAACTGTTTCTTCCAAATTAGGAGGGTCTGGAATGTGTCATAGTATTGTTCCGCCATTATCATTCGTTATACCTGCAATATGCAGTCATTGCAGTGTATGCCATGCCACGATGTCCAAGACGATGAGCCGAGAGCCAAGTCCTATTCAAGGGAGGGTGCCCGCTCAGAGCAGAGAGAGCGCCACGATTCTGGGGCTGTTCTAGCTAAGTCCGCCTCGTAATACTAATAGTATCCCTCATTTCCCTAGGTCATATGACTCAGTCCACTTTTCCCCTCAACAGCCCCGAGGTGCGGCGGAGGTGCGCGTGGTGTCCTCCACGGGTTCCGTCGGCGGAAGGAGTGGGTTCTGGCAAGGGTGAAACCGGCGCCGGATGCCAGCGATATCGCATAGCTAACTTGAAGCTGCCAGACTGACTTCGACGCTGGCGTCCAATAGGTCAACTGGCTCTGACAAAACAAAACGCTCCTCCTACCACACGCCTGCAATCCCCGGTCTCGTCTCCTACATGACGCACCTTTAACACATAACAACGGTAATCCACATAACTATTACCTTCCCTGTTGTGTGATTTATTTCCACCTCCAAAATGCTCCGTCACAGCCTGCAAGCAGTGGCAAGAAGCACAACGTCTGCTTCATGGCGGCCAATGGCTGTCAGAAGCTTTGCCTCGGCGTCAAAGCCTCCAACCTTTGACTGGGAAGACCCACTCGCGTCTAAGAACCTCCTGACCGAAGAGGAACTCGCAATTGCAGAGACGGCCGAGAGATACTGCCAAGAGCGTATGATGCCCAGAGTCTTGCGTATGTTGTCTCCTATCCTGAGGCTTGTTACAGCAGTGATGCATTTCACGCCCGACCCGTCTCCATCCCACAAGTCCGGCAGCCGCCGTTGCTAATATCAAACTTTAGAGGCCTACCGTGATGAGCACTACGACCCCAAGATCCTTCAAGAAATGGGTGAGCTGGGTCTGCTCGGTGCCAATATCGACGGCTATGGTTGCGCAGGTGTGTCATCAGTTGCTGGCGGCATGATCACGCGCGCTGTGGAGCGCGTTGATAGTGGCTATCGATCCGGCATGTCTGTGCAGTCGTCACTCGTTATGGGGGGGATCTACGAATTCGGCACTGAGGAGCAGAAGCAGAGGTTTCTTCCTGACATGGCCAAGGGCAAGCTGCTCGGTGCGTTTGGTCTCACGGAGCCCAACCACGGCAGTGACCCCGGCAGTATGGAGAGTATCGCCAAGCCTCACCCTAGCAAGAAAGGATACTTCTCCCTCAGTGGAGCCAAGACCTGGATCACAAATAGCCCCGTCGCCGACGTCCTTTTGGTATGGGCAAAGCTTCAGGAGACGGGCAAGATTCGCGGCTTCTTGGTCGAGAGAAAGGACTGCCCTCATGGCAGCTTGTCCACCCCCGCCATCAAGAACAAGAACGGCCTGCGTGCTTCCATAACTGGTATGATCCAGTTGGACGAATGCCCCGTGTCCGAAGCCAATATGTTTCCCGGTGTTGAGGGTCTCGGGGGACCTTTCAGCTGCCTCAACAGCGCCAGATATGGTATTTCTATGGGTGTCATGGGTGCCTTGGAAGACTGCATTGCCCGGGCAAGAGCCTATGCTCTGGAGCGCAAGCAGTTCAAAGGCAACCCTTTGGCCAAGTACCAGCTCATCCAGAAGAAGCTGGCGGACGCTGCCACCGACGCCGCCTATGGCACCCTGGCTGCTATCCAGGTCGGCCGCCTCAAGGACGAGGGCAAGGCAACGCCCGAGATGATCAGCATGGTCAAGAGACAGAATTGCGATGCCGCCCTGCGCAATGCTAGAATTCTGCAGGAGGTTTTCGGTGGCAATGCGGTGAGCGATGAGTATCAAATTGGCCGCCACGTAGCCAACCTATTTGTTACGCAGACATATGAGGGACAGAGCGATATTCACAGTATGTTATTGTTTACCCTTGACTAGCTTTTGATTCTTCTTTGCTGACAGAAATTCTCTAGGCCTTATCTTGGGACGAGCAATCACTGGTCTTCAGGCATTTGTTTAAGCAATACTAGACGTGGCGAGAAGGAGTGGGTGAGATTTGTTGTCATGTTTTTTAGGTACCTGGGTTCTTAGACGTCAGTGCATCAAGTGAAAAAAAGCGCAAAGGAAGTCAATCGGCAGCTTCGCAAGGATTTCGTCCATCTCCATCATCCCCCCCATGACTGCTTGAGGTTAAGATGCTTGTTGTTAAGCCGTTGCAGCCGGTCTCATGTTCCATAACGTTGTCATTGCCGATTCGCCGGACCCACCGAGCCGATCATGCCATCGGAGTTGGCCTGGCCTCGAACACGTTGCCACGCGACACCATATCGCAAGAAGCACCAAGCTCAGAGGGATATGATGAATATTGGGAGGCATGGATGCACGGTGGACTGTGAATTGCTCAGATAATGGCCGTGTTTTACTTGACATTCTTGAGACTGTAAATATCGGGGGGCTGATGATTCTTGACGCATTCTCAAGGGGCCTTCAGAGAATAATACACGGTGCCCGGGGAAGATGGGGTTCACTCGGGCTATCCTAGCCTAGCTCTAGGGTCAGCGCACGATGTCCCCGAAACAGCGGCACCAATGGGTTGCAAATAAGGCCAGGGCGACATTCAAATTGCCCAGGTCTCACGGCCATGTTACAGACGCCACAATCACGGAGAACCGTCAAGTGTGTGTTGGTGGTGGGTGGTTGGTGGCCTCGGTACAGACGAGGACTGGCGCCACGAGTCAAGATCAAAATGCTAACCGGAAAAGGTGGCGATGCCGACTGGGTGCTCGTATGTGTACCGGCGGCAAGTTGGACGACGGCACACGTTCAGGGCGGCAAAAACTTCTCGAATCAAGACTGCTGACAATTCTGACGTGTGGCGTGTTGTTTGTGAGAAGAGCGAGGAAGGTTTGATTGATTGAGCGACTGAATCTGTTGTTCCGTTGTGTGATTGGTACCCACTTGCTCGGGCAGCCTCACCACCATTGGCCCCTTCCATGTCCCGTGCCCCAAGACCAGCGCGCTTGAGTTTGCGCAGGGGGACGAACGTGCTGGCTCGGAGGTGTGTTGTCTCTGTCCAGTCTGTCGTACATCCGCCGTATCGCCAGCCCAAGGAGAGGAGAGGGGCCCAAGTGCCCGGCACGGTGCTGGCTCAATGTTTGCTGGTGCTGGTGCCAGGCTGGCACTGGGCCGACTACTCCGGTTGCTGCTTCTAATCTTCCACCTCACTGATCGACCCCTGTGCATTTCTCTTTCCTTCCATACACCACCACAAAACTACCTACCTAGGTACCCAATCCAACCATTTTCTGACGACTGATTTCTTCATACGAAGACAACCTTTCCTGTCTACCAGATTCTCACCCACCAGCATCACCGCTCGACATCGACTGCCGCCCGCTGTTTCTCGGCATCGTAACGACTGCTTTGGTACATTACCCCGCCGAGTTGTTCTGCTGAAGTGCGTCATCCTGCCTTGCTTGCTTTCGCCTCCTCCTCCCGCCCGTCCCGCGATTTTCTCGTCCCTTTTCCCCAACTAACCCGAACTTTCTCCAGCACCTGCATCAACCAGCGATCTACGCTTTCACACCACTCTTCACAACTCTTTAGCCATGGCTCTTAAGCGCATCAACAAGGAGCTGACTGATCTCGGCCGGTAAATATTTGCCCTCTTTTCTACCTTGCTCGCCTTCCCCCTCTAGCCTCGAGGGATTGACGGCCCGCCTCTCCTTTTGGACCCGATCTTGTGAGGTGGGGCATATCTGTGAGCGGGGCAGCATTCGACCAAGTTGTCGTAATACATATCAATACCTGACGCTCGCGATCGCCTCAGTGGCCTCTGAGGAATGGAGATGCCGCCCGGTTCTCTCGAGTTTGACTGGAGTGATTAAATCTTCATGGTTGCCGCAGCCCTTGCACGGAGCGGCAAGGCCAGTTCTGATTGCTGACTTCCTTTCTGTAGTGATCCGCCGTCATCTTGCTCTGCCGGCCCTGTTGGCGAAGACCTGGTATGTGTGAATCAAGGGCCCCCTTTCCTGTCTCGTATGATTGATAATCTGGCTCGTCCTCAAAAAATAAATATACTGGAGCTAGTCGCCTCTGAAGATGCGACCAGGTGTTTTGAGACTTGTAACAGAGGACTAAACTACTAACCACTTGATAGTTCCACTGGCAAGCTACAATCATGGGACCTGTGAGTAGAAAAACGAGCAAATATAAGGCTTCGACTTTTTCGGGGGCATCAAGCGACAGTGAGGGGACATATGTGTGTCCCAGACGAACATCGTTTTGATATGCACCACTAGAGACCTCAGTTTTGCTTTGCCCTGTTTGCATGTACAATACTCACCAAATTTGATAGGGCGACTCACCATACTCGGGCGGTGTCTTCTTCCTTGCTATTCATTTTCCCACCGATTACCCCTTCAAGCCGCCGAAGGTTAACTTCACCACTCGTATCTATCACCCCAACATCAACTCTAATGGCAGCATCTGTTTGGATATTCTGCGAGACCAGTGGAGTCCTGCTCTTACCATCTCCAAAGGTATGTTTATCCATGACTCCGGTTTTTTCTGGTCTACCACAACTCGAAAACCAAGCCGGTTACTGACATTTTCATGAATAGTGCTTCTCTCCATCTGCTCCATGCTGACGGACCCCAACCCCGACGATCCTCTTGTGCCCGAGATTGCTCACGTATACAAGACCGATCGACCCCGATACGAGGCTACGGCCAGGGAGTGGACCCGCAAGTATGCGATTTAGGATCTGACGATCAAGACCCTAATTCAGGCCACGATGTTCAGAGGACAAGGGAAGCGCGACGTCTTTCTCTTTTGCACGATAACCAGGGAGGAGGAATTTTCCAGACAAGGTCGCTTCACAGGCCGTAGTGAGATGTGAAGCCGATCATATGCGGCACGACTGAGGAGCCCTCGTCTCGGCGCACATGCAGTCGAACCGTATCTGACGAGACAAGAGGGTGAGAATTTGTCGTTCAGAGGGGTTGCAAGACAAACTGGACAGAACAGATCAGCTACTAAAGGGATATCATGCGGCTGGGCTTTTTGTTTTCCTTCTGCTGCATCATTGACGTGTTTTTTAATGGCATTTTCTGCTGAGCAGCGCATTATAGGATGTCTCTCTTTCACGCCTTGTGCCTCTTTTGCGATATCTGCATCATGTGACTGAAGCGACGTGCTGGATTCGGTTCCATGGAGGGATGGGGGCCTCTCATGTCTGTCATGTCACAAGGCACCATTCACGTATTCCCGCTGCTACTCAACAGAATTGAGCAGCTCAGCTTTCGTTTTGCGGCATCGACGACTATTAATCGGCATGAGTCGACCCAAGCATCGCGCCAATTACCATATTCAGTCAGTCAAAGTGCGTGCCCTCGAGGTCAACCATGCAACGTGCGCAGACATGCTCGACCGTTCGATGGGATGCTTTCCCGCATGGTAGGGTTATATTTTCCCCCAAGAGCAAGAAAAACGTGCCCGGAAGTCTGGCATATGTCACGGACATCTGCTCATCCGCCGCGGTGACGGAGGGAGTTTTGATGGCCTCAGATGTCCCGACAAGCCGCATCATGATGGATCCAACCCACCCAGGTCGACAAGGCAGGAGGCAAGGCATTGTCAGTCGTCATCAGCTGATTGTGACGACATTTCGTCGCAGCCGCTCCGTACTACTACCGCATACATGATACAGTTGGGTCTAAACACGCCCTGCAGATTGCGAGCATGCAGTACGGAGTACTACGGTCGCTGATGGTGTCAAGATGTGTTTCGGGGGTTGGTTGATATGTCCACAGCTTCCTGCTATTACACTGTAGGCCGGTGAAGAAGCAGCCATGGCACGACCACGGCGGAGGGCTTGCAGTTGACGGGGGGCCTGAACCAGAGTGACTGGCAGTACGTGACAGGTCGTGTCACGGTACGTTTCACCACGGCAGGTTTGACACGGGACGAATTCAAGCGGCTTACTCCCTTGGGCACGGCATCAAACGTCGAGGACTCCTCTTGATACTGACCTGGCGGTTTTGAACATTTGATGGGTAGTAAATAGTACATACCATGCGGCTGCAGATTTGTGGACGCGGCGGCGCCGTCGTCGTTTGGGCATTGGGCCACAAGTCAGTTTCCAAGTCTTGGATGAAACGGGCACTGAGGCGGGGGAAGGGAGCGGGGAGTAGGGAGTAGGGAGTAGGTACCTAGGTACTGGGTAAGTACTGGTACGTACGGCGGTGGCGGTGGTACCGAACCGAATGCTGGTTGCACGTGCGCTCTTATTGGTTCAACGCCGGCAGTGTCTGTGCGTCAAGTAAGTTCCAGGCCATCCGGAGAGCGCGACGCCAGGACAGTCGGTCAGTTCATTGACATTGACGCTGGAGATGGAGATGAAGGCGGGCTATGCTATGCTTGAGATGCCGTTCCTACCAAAGGCCAGGTAGTTCCAGTTCTGCACCATCTGAAGTTTGAACTATTATTAACTTGTTACTACTCAAGTAGCCAGCAAGCTGGTTCGTCGCAGGTTGAGCGTCCTGAATGACAGCCCCTGAAACTGGCGCATAGACCCAACGCCCGAGTGGGCTGCGGCCGGTTCGGAAGAGCGTGAGCGTCCAATCACCTGCGGGGACATTCCTGAACCTTGGCTCACCGGACTTTTGGAGTCGTGTGCTCGGCCTCCTTCCTTTGAGTCCGTACGTATATGATTCATTGATGAGTATGGATGGGGCTGCTGCCATCGTCTTGCTGGCGTCGGTATTTTTTTTCTTTTTCTTTTTGGCAGAACTCGGCGCGTTCCCCCCTGGCAACGTTGGCTTCTGCCATTCTCATCATCGTGACAGATTTATTGGATCGGCAAGACTTTACGAGCGAGAGTTGAACCGCTCACTGGTTGGTATGATGTCCATTTGGCCGTGTTTCAAGCATATCCCTGCCGGGTCCCAGACGCCCAGTTCCGCAATCCCATTTATGATTTATGGCAAGATGCCTGCACTCTGCCCCTCTCCTTTCCCCTTCGCTGCCCTCTCAGCCAATTTTATTCCCGGCCTCAGGCAGGCTAGGCAGCCAGTTACCGTAAGGAGCGACTAACATGACCGTTCAGACATGACATTCGTCAGTGAGCGAGGAATACCTTGTCACTTGATCACTTGCTGCTCGTCCTTGCAGGCTCGTCGCGACCAGGTTCGGATTTCTTTTCTTTCGGAACTTTTCACATCTATTTCGGCAGGCTCTGAAGTGTATTGCGCCAAACACCCGCCGTGTGCAATATCTCTGTTGGGATATATGGAGGCTGGTTGTGTAGCCCGAAACATTGCCGAGTTTCGATCGGTGTCGTCTATTGCATCTGACCCGAAAGAAGCTGCAAACTCGTCGACCACTGGAAGTTTGGGAAGTCGCGAACAAAGAATACGGGGGCGGCTGCGATGAGCTATTACTCCGACTTCTGGGACCGGCGGTCTTCGAAGCGGTCGGAGCGGTCGGAGCGGTCGAGATGGACTCCCTTGACGAGGATGTTGCTCTCAGGCGAGATGACGCAGGAGAAGCAGCAGGACCTATCAACGAGAGAAAAGTTTGATCGTTGGATGATCAACGAGGGTTACAGACGAGTGTAAGTATGAGTGGCAAAGTGAGGGACACCAAGAAGAGATGGAGAGGCAGGTCCTCGATGGGGAATATGTAAAGGCCGTCGTCACGGCCGGCGTGGGATATATCACTAACAGACATTGCCAGATTTGTCTTCGTCTTCATGTTCACGCACGCTCTCATATTCGCACTCGCCTCGGTCCACTACGCCATGAAGGACAGCTTGCAGGGCGCCAGAGATATCTTTGGTTTCACCTTCGTCATCGCGCGTGCGTCCGCCGTCGTTTTACATGTCGACGTCGGCATCATCCTCTTCCCGGTCTGTCGGACACTGATTTCGCTCATGCGCCAGACTCCTCTCAATGGAATTATTCAATTCGACAAGAACATCACATTTCACATCACCACAGCGTGGTCTATTGTCTTCTTTTCGTGGGTGCATACGATAGCGCACTGGAACAACTTTGCCCAGGTTGCGGCCAAGAACAAGCTGGGTGTGTATGGATGGCTTCTGGCCAACTTTGCGTCCGGACCCGGCTGGACGGGTTACGTGATGCTTATTGCTTTGATGGGCATGGTTGTCACGTCGATGGAGAAACCCCGGAGAGCAAACTATGAGCGTTTCTGGTACACTCACCACATGTTCATCATCTTCTTCTTGTTCTGGTCCCTGCACGGTGCTTTCTGCATGATTCAACCGGACGTGGCTCCCTTTTGCACCAGCATCGGCGCCTCGGCCATTGGCGTGTTTTGGCAATATTGGATGTACTCTGGCTTCGTCTACTTGGCGGAACGCATCGCTCGCGAGGTACGCGGTCGGCACAAGACGTACATCTCAAAGGTCATACAGCACCCAAGTCAAGTGTGTGAGATCCAAATCAAGAAGCAGAACACAAAAACTCGTCCCGGCCAGTACATTTTCTTCTGCTGCCCTGCCGTATCGCTCTGGCAGTATCACCCGTTCACGCTCACCAGTGCTCCCGAGGAGGACTACATTTCAATCCATATGAGATGCCAGGGTGATTTCACCATGGCAGTCTCCAAGGCTCTCGGCTGTGAATGGGACAACAAGGCCGACACAAGCAAGGTCGTGGGCGGTGACATGGACCGAAACGGCGTTGACCCTGCTCTGCAAAGGCTCTTGCCACGAGTCTACATTGATGGACCATTTGGATCAGCCTCGGAGGATGTTTTCAAATACGAAGTATCTATTCTCGTTGGTGCCGGTATCGGCGTCACGCCCTTTGCTTCCATCCTCAAGTCCATCTGGTACCGAATGAACTACCCACAGAAGAAGACTCGTTTATCCAAGGTGTACTTTTTTTGGATTTGTCGCGACTTTGGCTCCTTCGAGTGGTTCCGGTCACTGCTCCTGGCCGTGGAAGCTCAAGATGTCGAGCACCGCATTGAAATCCACACATATTTGACTGCCAAGATCAAGGCCGATGACGCCACCAACATTATGATCAACGATGTCAACGCCGACAAGGACACCATCACAGGTCTGAAAAGTCCGACAAACTTTGGGCGACCAAACTGGGACATGATCTTCCGTAGCATCCGGAAACTGCACAGTCCTGGGGAAGCTGGAGTCTTTTTCTGCGGTCCGAAGCTTCTGGGCAGTGCCCTGCACGTATACTGCAACAAGTATACCGAACCGGGGTATGTTGAACGTTGCCCCCTTTTTTCATTGCGCTGATATTGATTGGGCTCTGCTAACTGACCCCTGGACAGGTTCTCATTTGTTTGGGGAAAAGAAAATTTCTAGCGGCGATATTAAGCATCCGTTCCTCGTCTATACCCGCACGTTTGCAAGCTCATGGGTCCGTCCTTTGAAGCATTCGATGCCTGTTGGTTAGTTATTTCGAAATTGAAATTGAATAGTGTAGGATATATTGGGGAAAGTCGTTTACACTGGTTGTTGAGAATACATTGGCCGCGGTGGCGCTGCGCCTGCGACGCCGAACTCGACTGGAGAGGAGGATTGCGCGAGACCGGCCGAGGGACATTGGTCTATGTTGTCTTGACACATTCAGGGCAATCTCGGCGGGCGCATGCAGAAGACGACAATATTCAAAGGGACAAAGTTACTTTACGCGCCTGTAATGAACCCGGGAGGACGTGTTGCATCCGGCGGATCCTGGGCTCGATACATATCTGCCCAGGCAGGGAGGGTATGCAGGCGCGGCCTCGCTGTCTGGCCGCATCATTTGCGGTTCAACTGTCGTCGAGGTCGGCGCCAGGCCAGGCTGGTTGGCCTCTGCAGCCAATCAGGCACGGTTCAGCCAGATACGACGAGCAGCGGTGCGTTGTCGTGGTTCGGTGAATCTGCATTAACAAGTCGTCGTACGTCTGGGCAGGGGTCTCCGGCGTCGAGGCTGGGAGGCTGGGGCAGTGCAAGGCGGCGCCACGATATAAGAATAGAAGTCTTCATGCAGGCCATGGAAAGCAAGGCTCTGGTGTGGCCGGCACCGTCGTCTGCTTGTGCTATGCCTGTGCGAGTCGTGGAGAGGTGGGCAGGCAAGTTTGGATCTCGATTCTCAGGCGGGCAGAAGACATCAGGCGCCACATAGAACTCGGTGCTCCGTACATGACCTGACAGTTATATATAACCGTAATTTAATTAGCCTTGCGTTCAAATGCAAATGCTGCCGGCCGGCATACTTCCTACCGCGAGAGACGCGGCTGCCCAAGCGCGCTTGTACGTTGGTGCATACGTGCTCACCCTACGTATTTGCACGTCCGATTTAGGTGTTTGGGACCAACGTCAATCAAGCAGATCAGGCAGGAGAAGGAGCTCGACCTGGTCTGCCGGGTTCGCAGATCCCGCGCACCCCTTGCCCGTCGTCACCTTTGCGAACCCAAGTCATCCGGCCTTGGCAGGCAGGGCAAAACCTCGTACAGAGCAGTACTAGCACCAGAGCTACGTGGTATCGCTGGAGAGGCTTTTTTAGCTACGGGCCATGGCTGCTTGCGCCACGGCCACGGCCCACAAGGGTCGGTCTGTCAGTCAGTCGTGGGGTTGGCGATGCCATGTTTTTGAGCCGTGGACGGCGTCCGGGTTTTCGGTGAATTTCTCGCGCGCGTTTTGGACGGGCTCGCTTGTCTCGCGGGCAGACTCTCCGCTCCGACGACGTGGCAGCACGTCTTTATCGCGCCGTTGCATATCTGCCGGCGGCGCATGTTTCGAGCTGGTGGCGCTGCTGGCCATCCGACCAACCGCGGTCAGGTGGGCAGGCTGAGGCTGGTGGTGACTGCTGCTGCTACGTTTCGTCGTCGTCTGGCAGAGACGAACGAACGAGGTAGGGCGGGGCGAGACGCTTGGTGGGTGGATGGATGAAGGTTTGCTTTGAATCTTGATACTCTCGACTTTTGTACGGGCCTGGTAGTTGTAGCTTGTCTACGGTGTACTCAAGGTAGTTATTACGTGTTGCGTATTGCGCGCTTAAGTACCTAGGTAGGTATGGAGTGGCCGGTCGGTCGGTACTGAATGCTGCACGGGGGACTCTGTACAATCGTGGTGATTTTCACGACGCAGATGGCATCATGGCCTCACGGATGCATGACTTGGATCGCGTTTGACTGGTTTTGTTTTTTGTTGTTGCTTTGTTGGCGGGGGGGGAGGGGGAATGTGTGTGTGTGTGTTTTCCGCCTCTTCCGCAAACTCGGAAAGATGGCGCGTCCCCATGCAATGCCAATACGGAGTGCGGAGTACGTACCAGTTGAACTGCCCAGGTACGCACGGAGTACATGTACTACTTGGCTTGCCCTGCCCTTCTTTGTGTCTCCAGCACCACGCTTTTGGGGCCTTTTAATGCGCTTAGTGCCCGGGGCCAGCGCTCAGCGTGCTGACCTGCCCCGAGGCCGCTGAGGATGTGCATCGGTTGATGGCGCCAGGGCCCCGGGACCGCCATCGGGGCGCCTTGTGTCAGGTGTTTAAACTCTCTGTACTCCGTGCCCGCACCCGCACCCGCACCCGCACCCGCCCGCCCACCTGTCTGCGAGGCAGCTCGCTCTTTCTCCCTCCCATCCGTCCTTCCTTCCCCTCTGGATTCCAGACTCCGCCCTCCGTCTCGTTTTGGGCGCTCCAACGAACTTGCTAGCCATTCGGCATACAACGTCTTCTCTCTCTCCCCCTTCCCTTCCTCTCCTTTTGTTTCCCGTCTCGTATTGTCTTTTATTTCTCGACATCGCCGCAGCCGGCTTTTGCCCCTTTTTGTCTGTGTTTTATTTATGTATCATTTTACCAGTTGGGTCGCTGGCTGCAACTTGCTACCCCCAGCCCACTTTCGTTCGAACAAGGCCCCGTTCCCTGTGCCTCCCTCCTCTCCAATCGAGGGCCGCGAGGTTCGCCAAATCAAACCGGTCGATTGTGGGCGATATTGGTAGACGAAACAACTTGTTCGTCGCTCGTGGTTTCGCTCTTACTTCCAAAAGAGTCAGTTTTTTCGAGTCGGTTTGAGCATATCCGACGTCTCAACGGTCCCTCGCCCTCGACCGACGGCCCCGGCTCTGAGCCCATACAATTTTTACTCGGCTTTCGGACCCGATTCTTCTCCCGTCCCGTCCAGTTCCGTCCTGTCATCGAGCTTGAGCGGCATCCAACAGATTGCCCGGCATGCGTCTCTCATGGGGACTTGTCCTGGGTCTGGCTTTCGGCGCCGGCGCGAGTCGACTTGCTCCTCGCCAGAATGATGCGACTCCCACCGGGTCACCTCGGCCGCCGCCCACCGCAACCTCAACAAGCGGCGATAATGAAACTTCCAGCACCTCTTCCTCTTCCTCGTCCTCGTCGAAGGAGAGCAGTGACAGCACTGTCTTCGTGACTACTACCGTTACCAGTAGCGGCGCTGGTAGCATTGTCAGCGAGACAACCACTGTCACTTCTAGTTCGGTCGCAACGGTTACCGTCACGACGACAGACATTCCCACCACCACCATCACTATGAGCGATGGTGATACCTCGACCAAGACGGTCTTTGTCACATCTACGCAGACCGTCAACCTGAAGCGCAGTGTTGATGGCGTTTTGCGGCACATTGGCGAGGGACCTGCTCTTGTTGACGCCCAACCCACCACCGCTCCCTCTGGCTCTGCCACACAGGCCGCATACCTTGGAGCTGAGAGAATCCGCCTGGGGAAGCGGGCTGTTGTCACCTCTACTGTTACCGTGACCGTCGGTGGTGGAGGTGGTGCTACTACAACCGTGGTGCAGACCGTCACCAAGAATGTGAGGTCGACCACGACCAGCCTCGTTCATGTGACATCATGGATTACCGAGACGTACCAAGCCAACGCCAAGACGACCGTCACAATCACCAGCACCATTGTCACCAAACTTACTCTTGTCTCTACTGGCATGGCAACGTCAACTTCTATCCCCACGGGCAGCCCCAACCCTGCAAATTCCAACAGCGATAGTGATGGCAGCGGACTCCCCACAGCTGCCAAGGCCGGGATTGGTGTCGGGGCTGGTGTTGCTGGCCTAGCCATCGTTGGCGCTCTTCTTTGGTTCTGCACCAGACGTCGCCGCGGCCCCAAGCCTGATCCCGACGATTTGCTAGGACCTTCCTCTGAGGTGCCCGTTGGCGCTGGCGGCTCACGCCCCATGTCTCAAAGATTAACGTCCGCCCCGGGTTCCGCCCCTCACCGGAGTCCAATCCTACCAAACGTCCAGCCCGAGGGTTATCGCGGAACAGCCATGGGAGACGGCCGTGCCGGATATGCCAAGCCTGAACCGTACGGCGCGGCATATGCCCCTGCCCGGTCCGCCACCAACAGCTCGTATCCTTCTCGAAACGGCAACCTGTCTCCTGGCGACCAACTGCCGCGGCATCCTACCCCTGATACAACAACCGCGGCCTCTGTAAGCCCCCTCTCGGCCAGGGCGCAAAACGCTGAGCTGAGCAACGATGGGCCTGGTGCGAGATGGCACACGAGCGAGGCTGCCGAGATGGCCACGGGCAATGCGGCGGCCGGCAAGTGGCACAGCGACAGCGCCCATGAGATCGACAGCCATCCCGTCATGGGCCATCAGAGCGGGCCAGTGTATGAGATGCCTACCGAACACTTCAAATAGCTGCCCAGCACATGAAATTTTGTTTAGGGTCAAAACTGTAGAGGAATTCGAGGCTTGATGGGAAAGTCCTCCCCAAGGGACATGCACAGAAGACGGCCATGACATGGTGCCTGGATTGAGCGTGACGTGGGCAAAGCAACAAGGTTATATGCTGGGACGACGCATCGCAGCAGGAGGGGTATAGCTGAAGCAGATGTGGAAGACGGCGAGTGTGTCGGGTAATATTGTTGTACTCTTGTATATACCCATATATACGTATATTTATCTCTTTCCCTCTTGTTCCTCTTTTCCTCAGTCCTCGCCAACATGGGCCGCCGAACGATGGTTGGTCGACGCACGACGGGGCGATGGCGGGATGTCTGTGGACGGACTATTGTATTGTATTACCAGTGCGTACACACGGCCTGCCTGATGGACTGGATGGAGCCGTGTGATATTACGGACGGGTGGTGGTGATATGAAATTGTGGCGTGCAGTTGCATTTCAAACCCGGGCATGGGGGGTGGGGGCCAATCGACGACTAATTGTTTTCCGATGCTCCGTACCAAGACCAAGGCCGCACAAGCAGATTTTTTTATCCCGCGTCTTGTAGGTCCGGTCCGGCGGCCGGGGTGAGGTGAGGTGAGAGGTGAGAGGTGAGAGGTCTAAGGAGGAGAAAAGCAAGGCAGGCCGGTACTCGGCAGCTTTCGTTTTCCGGTCTCACAACGAGACACACGACCTCGACCTCGACCTCGACCTCGACCTCGACCACGACCACGACCACGACCACGACCCAGGACCAGGACCAGGACCGGCACCAGGACGGAGACAGCTCTTTGCGCGCGCTGCTTTGCAAGAACCGCCGCGCCAGTTCCCGTTGCCGCTCCGCCGCCTTGCACAGCGTCAAGACAAGACGAGACAAAGCAAGACGTCTCTGCTGAGCCTGCCTGCCTCGATGGGATCCACGGAAAAGCAGTCGCGGAACGAAGGTCCCAGCGACGATGGGCAGCCCGGCAGGACGGCTACGGTGGACATGGACACGGACATGGACATGGACGACTTGGTCAGCTCGAGCCGGGGTGTCGACGAGCGCAGGTTGGTCCGCAAGCTGGACCTGCACCTGATTCCGTTGATAATGGGCATCTATCTCTTTAGTTTTGTGGACAGGCACGTCTTGCTCAGTGTCCCCTTTGCCCCCTTTGCCCCCTTTGCCGTTCCCCTCTGCCATGGCCCGTGAATCCATGAATCCATGAATCCACGTGTCCACGGAGCCCTTCGCGATGGCTAACGCAAAAAGTCACACAGAGTCAACCTCGGCAACGCTCGCCTCTACGGGCTCGAGCAGGACGTCGGGCTCAGCGCATCCCAGTTCCAGGTGGCCATCTCCATCTTCTTCGTGACGTACATGCTGTTCGAGGTGCCGTCGAACCTGGTCCTCAAGCGCCTGACGCCCCGGCGCTGGATCGCCTTCATCACCGTGTCGTGGGGCCTCGTCGCCACGCTCACGGGCCTCGTCAGCTCGTACGGCAGCCTCCTCGCGTGCCGGCTGCTCCTCGGTGCCGTGGAGGCGGGCCTCTTCCCGGGGCTCAACGTCTACCTGACCTTCTTCTACACCAGGAACGAGCTCGCCCTGCGTGTGGGCTACCTGTTCGTCAGCGCCGCCGTGGCCGGTGCGCTGGGCGGCCTGCTCGCCTACGGCATCGGGCACATGGACGGCGTGCAGGGCCTCGCCGGCTGGCGGTGGATCCTGATTATCGAGGGCATCCCCAGCGTTGCCCTCGGCGTGGTGACGTACTTTGCGCTGCCCAACGATGCCGAGACGGCGTGGTTCCTGGGCCGCGCCGAGAGGGCGCTCATGGAGCTCAGGCGGCGCCGGGAGTACGGCGGCGTCGACGCCGGCGGCGGCATTGAGAAGAGGGACGTGCTGAGGGCGGTCACGGACCCGAAGGCTTGGGGCTTTTACGTTGCGCAGTTTGGGGTTGATACTATGCTCTACGGTGCGGCGGGCGTTTTCCCTCTCCTCCTCCTCCTCCTCTCTCTCTCCTTGTGTGCAAATGACGGATGTCCTGGGTGTGCTGATGGGTTCAAGCAGGCTTTTCTACCTTCTTGCCGACAATCATCCAGGCGCTCGGGACATGGACGACGGCACAGGTCCAGCTCCTTACTATACCGTGCTACTTTCTCGGCGCGGCGGTCTACATGGGCACGGCCTTCTTGTCGGACCGCGTGCAGATGAGGGGCCTGTTTTGCGTCGTCTTCGGCTCCGTCAGTGTCGTCGGATACGGCATCTTGCTGGCGGATGTGCCGACGAGTGTGCGCTATTTTGCGTGTTTCCTGGTAGCGGCCGGCTTGTATGTCGTTGTTGGGCTGCCGTTGGCGTGGGTTAGTTTTTTGTTCCTTGTCCTTGTCCTCGCTCTTCTCCTCCTGCTCTCTTCTCTTGCCCGCTCGTGCGACGCTGCACTGCACTGATCGAGAGATGGTTGCTGACCATGTTAGTTGCCAAACAACTCCCCACGGTACGGTAAGAGGGCAACTTCAACGGCTCTGCAACTTACTTTTGGCAATACAGCCGGCGTCATGTCTGCTTTCATCTAGTGAGTATTTACCTGGCGGCTTTGCCCCCCCGCCCCCTTTTTTCTCTGTTTTTGTGCGAGTGCTTGCCGGGCGTGATGTGATCATGCTGACGTTTCACAAGCCCAAAGTCGGATGCTCCGAGGTATACTCGCGGCCACGCCGTCTGCCTCAGCATGGTGGCCATGGGGACGGCCATGTACGGCTTTCTGTGGTACTGGTACTGGCGGCAGAACAGGAGGCGCAAGGCTGGCGTGATGGACGACAAGTATAGGGACAAGGGGGAGGCGGAGCTGATGGCGCTGGGTGACGATAGCCCGCGGTTTCGGTATACCATATGATGGGCGTGGCGAGCATTTCGGCGATGAAGGACGGATTGGGCCAGCGCGTCGCGACCGTTTGCTGAGCATCGCAAAGGACGCCAGCCCAGGCAGCCAGCATTTGGGTCATTCTGGAAACTGGCCGGAGCGAGGATGGCCCGGCTACTACCACATGATGCTCCCGCAGCAAAGTCAATAAAGTAACCCGTCCCGTGGCCACCGCAAAGCAAGCCCGGCTCATGTGCCGGCACGGAGACGGCTGTGCGACACGCATACCGGGCATCCGAGAGACGGCTCCGTCGCGATTGTCAGCGTGACGCAGTTTCGCAAACCCTTTGAACGGGGAATTCCAAGCTGGGAAGGAGTTTCACGACGGCCAGAGCTTGCAGAGCTTGGGTCAGTCTACTGCCTCTCCCTTTCTTCTTCCCGCGGCCAGGAATTCACGGACGGCAAGGCCACACAGCCAGCCACCCACGCGAGCAGGGGACCAGAGGACGCAGCTGCAGCCTTTGGCAAAATCGCTAGCTTGCCAGCCTCGGGCTCCGGGAATCGACACCAAATTGTCTCTGTCGGGTATTGCACGTCTCCTGCCGAGGCGTGGTATGTGGAACTGGTTCAAGGGAGGGATGGAGGAGGGAGGCAAAGAGCATACGCGGGCCACGCTGCCCTTGACGTGCCAGCCGTTGATGGACCGGACGCGTAGAGAGCAGAGAGCAGAGAGCGAGGAGCGAGCGAGAGAGAAATTGGCGCCGAGTCATTGGTCTCTTCCCGACGAGTATTGCATGCCTCTGCGTCTTGCCGCGCCCGCGCCCGCGAGCGAAGCTGGACGGATATAAGAAAGGGCACTCACTTTACGATTTGCGAGTCTGCACGCTCTATTTTTCTTGTTCACAAAAAAAAGATTAACTCGAGGCTAAACGAGAGCACACACACACACACACACACACACACGACTTTGTTGGCCCAAGAGAGCTCGTCGACCCTGTCTTCAAGTGGCACGCAGACATTCGCCATCCAGGCTCCTTGCTCCTTTCATCTCTCCTCTCGCCATCCCCGGAGCGGCATCAAACTAGCCCGTCATGGCCGGCAGAATGGTCAAGCTGCTCGCGCTGCTGGTTGGCGTCTTGGGCCTGGCGCTGGCACAGACGCAGACGCAGACGCAGACACAGACACAGACACAGACACAGACACAGAACCCGGCCACGACCACGAACGCAAGCACGGCGGTTGACGCGACGCGGACCATGGGCAAGGTCATGGACAAGGCGTCGACGTCGGCCATTTCGTCGGCGGATGCGACGACGACTGCTGGCGGGGACGACGAGACGGCCAAGACGACGGCGTCGGAGGAGACGGCCAGCGACGTGACGACGAGGACGGGCGGCAATTCCACCACGACGACTTCGCACTACACGAGGGAGAAGCCGGGCCCGCCGACGACGACGATCCCCAACCCGCTGCGCAATGCTGGGCGGAGGCCGTCGCAGCAGCCGGGGCTGGGCAAGCTCTCCGTCGTGGTTGGGCTGGTGACGTACGGGCTGATTGTGATGTGAGGCCGTGGGGGGTGGTCTTGTTCTGCTTTGCCCTTGTTGCCGTGGCGTGGCGTGAGAAGTGAAGGAGCTGGCTCTTTGACGGCTGCGCGGAACGGGATGGATGGGCGTGTTCAACCGGACTTGGAGGATGGACGAGGCCGTGGCCGCGCGCGGAAGGAGGGAGAGCTTTGTAGTTGGCGACTGGCTGCGTGAGCGGGCAGATAAATATACCGTTGATTGCGTGATAAAGCGTCGTGGCGTGGTTCCAGGCAACAAAGCGACGGTGGCTAGTTCGCAGACGGGCTCGACCAGAGGCGACGCAACGCACGTATTACCCAAACTGTTCAGTGGCAGGATCTTTTGATTCCAGCTCCTCGTCCATCGTGACTGAAACGAGGCGCCGCTGATGAAGCGCCCTCGGCGAAAGTAGTCGCCCCTCGGCCGCGGCCTCATTCGCAAAGAGGCCCTGGCTGGTAGCTACGCACTCTGCCCACGACGCCAGCCGCACACGTTGTTCTGTTTCCTGTTCAAGGATGAGTGAAATCATTCACGGTATTGTACAGCTAACCGCCGAGGCCGAACCCTCGCCACGGCGTACATGATGGCATACACGAAAAAGACCCGGTTGTTTCCCCCGAGACAGCCGACGGCAGAAACAAGACTAGGCCTGGCCTGCGCCCTGGCCTCGCTCCCAACCACCCCGTCGTCGGGCCGCTACGTCGCCTTCTTCCTCTCCAACAGGTCCTGGATATCTTGCTTGCCCTTGCCCTTGCCCTCGCCGCTCGCCCCGGCGCCCCCGTCCGGGGCAAAGGCCGTCGACACCTCCATCTCCCGCGCGCCCTGCCTCCTCAGTTCATCGAGCCGCCTCTTCTTCTGGATGTCCGCCACGCGCCACTGCTTGAAGTACTTGACCCACGCGGCTGCGCAGTCGCGCTCAAAGTCGTCGCTCTGGCGGGGACACGCGCGCCTCGCGGCGGCAGCGTCCTTGTTGGCGTCGAGGATGTCGTGGGCGTCGAGGCAGGCAAAGTATGCGTCGCGGGCGGCCCAGCAGACGGCGCGCTCGTGACGCGTGGGTATGGCCGTGCCGGAGCGGATCTCGTCGCCGCGGGAGGATGATGCAAGCGGCCACCAGCCCATTGCAGCGGCAGCGCCGTGCGCGCGACGGGGTTGTGTGTGTGTGTGTGTGTGTGTGTGTGTGTGTGTGTGTGTTTGTGCGCGCGGATTTGCGACGTGCAGCTGCCGCGGATGCTGCGGATCGTGCACACGTCCGTGTCGGACGTCAGACGGATTCGATCGTGGGGCTCGGGACCGGCCGTGTACCGTGTATCCCGGACACCTCAACGGAGATGGCTGGCGATATGTAGAGCTTGGGCTGCAAGACACGGCCAGGGATGGTCGATGAGGATGCCATCCGGCTCGTTGTAGAGATTGATGACGAGCGCTGGCAGAATCCCGGGCGGTGAGCCGACGACCTGCGCCGTCCATCCGGCAACGGCAGGTGCCACCGAGGACGGGGTACGGAGCACCGAGTAGTTACGTGCCTCCTGCCGACGATCCAATCCTCCTGCAACGTCCGCGAGAGCCCAACCAACGTCAGCCGGTCACTCGGACATCGCGTCCATCTCGGCCTCGTCGATCCTCGCATCCCCCCGCGTCCCACGATGGCTCGCAGAAGAAAGCCCCCGCGGGCGGGCGCGCTGTCGGAGCTCCAACCGCTCAAGATCGCCACGCAAATCGCCGCCCTCCAGGCCCTGTACTACATCACGGCCGGCGTCCTCATGCTCTTCACGGCCCTTGTGGCGGGCATGAGCTTCAGCGTCGACATGATACTCGGATGGGACGCCGTGCGCGGCGACACCACCCAGGGGTGGCTGCTGTCCCTCATCTGGCTGGCTGACGGCGGCCTCTGCATGTACGTGTGTGTGTGTGCGCGCGCGCCGTGTGCTCCTCCGCCCCGTCCCCCCCATCCTGCCCTTGCCAACGACGGACGGCCTCACGCTGACCAGAGTGCCTGCTGCCAGGGCCGTCGCCATGGTCGTGCTCATCGCGAGAAGCAAGCTTGTGCCCGACTTCGCCCTGACCATGCACCTCCTGCACCTCGTCTTCACCGCCTTGTACACGCGCTCCCTGCCCAGACACTCCATGTGGTGGATGACCATGATGGCGTCGGCCGCCGTCGCCGTCGCCCTCGGCGTGTGGGGCTGCCGCTACCGCGAGCTGCAGCCCGTCTTCTTTGCCGGCGGGCGAATCCTTGGCTCCAACTCTGGCTCTGCGCCGGCCGCCGCCTCCAACAGCCACGTCGCTGCCGAGGAGGGCCGCGCCCGTCCTGAGCACGGGGACGACGGGGACGACGGCTTCCCGCGCGGCAGGGGGAGGGGCCGTGGCAAGGACGGAGCCGGCGAGTACGAAATGGTGGGCATCAAACAGGCAAAGGACTGAGCGTGTTTGCCGACACGGCGGCGTTTTCAACATCTTGGAGTAGCGTGCATTGCTTGGCGTTTGGCATCCCCCGACGACGACTGGTGCTTTGTAAAACGAACAGTGTGGGAGGGGAGGGAAATCAGGGCTGTGGGTAGGTAGGCATTGTGGATTTTATTTTCGTGTTTTTTTTCTTCTTGTCAACTTTTGATACAAGACGACCAGGCGCGTACGTAGCTATCCGTAGAGACATGACCGGATACAAACGTCACATCACTCGAGTTTGCGCCCGTCATGCCCCTGCCACGACAGCCAGGTTGTCGTAGATGGCCCTCTTGACCTCATACAGGGTGTTCCTCCTCCCCACGATGGGCAGTCCCACGCTCTCCACCTCGATCCTCCCTTCTGCCGTCTTGCGTACAGACACGGACCCGTCAATGACGAGGATGCCTTCTCCTCTGAACTCGGCTCCATGCCCGGATCCCTGCATGGCCCTTCGCAGGTCGGCAAGTCGTAAATCTCCTACATGCAGAGGCTGTGCGGCCGTCCTGGCAGCCGACACCATATTCGAAGGGATCACGTCGAGAACGGGCAGGACGCCCGAGGAATTCGCGAGCGCCGTGGATGTGAGCGCCACAGCGGTAGACGGCTCCGTCTTCTGACGCTTGTTGGACGAGTCCTCGTCACCGGGTTCGGCGGGCTCGGCCGCCGTGTCCATCGCGAGGAGCTGCCCGCTTATGGTGACGATGGACAGGCCGCGTACGTTCTGCCACTTGAGTTTCTTGACGAGCGGGTCCGCAAGCTTGACGACCCAGGCGTTGGTGTCGACGCTCGCGTCGACCCGGGCGCCGACCGAGGGGGTGAAGACGTCGACGGCTTTGTCGCCGTCCATGCCGAGTGCCGCGCGGCAGTCTTCCGCGAGGCTCATGGTTTCCTCGTGACTGCCGCCGACGAGGATGAGCTTCCGCGGTTGGATGAGGGGGATGAGCATGTCTAAGCTCCGGCGGTCGTGGAGGCCGCTGAAGTCGACGAAGCCGATGCTTAGCCTGGCTTCCATCGTTTCAGTCGTGTAAACCAGCTTGCAAGGGCCCGTCGGCTCTTCCGGCTCCGTGTCTTCTACGTCGTCGAGATCATCGGCTACGTAGCTGTCTGCCCTGATACAGTCATCGCCGTCCTTGGCTGCGCCCTTGCCAGGCTGAGATCGCTTCCAGGGCCCACTTGCGCCCTTGACAACATCATCCCATTTTCTCTTCTTGCCCAGCTTGTCGTCGTCCAGGGCCAGATGGCTGCCGTCGGCATTGTCTTCGTCCTTCTCCTCGGCCCGAAGGTAGTCTTCGGGTCGTATCACTTCGCCAAAGTCATCGTTTCTCTTCCTTCGCATGGCCACGGGGAAGCACCGCTCTCGGCCCTTCTTGCCACGCGAGTCAAAGTCGTAGACGCCTTTACGCTTTATGAGAATATTGATGCCGAGGTCTTCGTCCTTGAGAATGACATTCTTTCGGCCTGCTTGGCCCAAGGTGGCTGAGACCGTCAGCGCCTTGCCTTGTTGCTGGCCATCCTCGTCTTCAGAGTCTGAGGATGAATCTGACGAGGCGTCATCGACAACGTCAGCTGCGCCTTCGAGAGGCCCAGCAGCGCCTGTCTGCTGGGTCGCTTGGAGCTGTAGTTGGGTAGCCAGCCATTGTTGGTGCACGGCAAGTTCATCACCTTCCAGCGCCTGCCGGGAGGCCTCGCGGACAGCTAGCTCTCGGCCACCTGCTGGGACTGTCTCGATTCTGTCGCCCGTGCTGGTCTGCTCCACAGTCACCCCGTCCCTCCTCTCTTTCCACCATTCCCATAGAGTCCTCGCCAGCGATGGCCTGTCGTCCTTGGCAATAGTCGGCCTATCTGTCAGGATGACGAGGTTATTTGGGTCTTGAGCAAGCCCCTTCAAGACGTCCTTGGAGAAACCCCACTCCATGCTCGTGTCGCTGGCAAGAATCACCCGTCCTTTGGCTGCTTCACCTTGGGCAGAGGCAACCTGATCCAGAAGCTTTGAAACTTGAGCCTTTCTCTCCAGGATTCGAAGATATTTAAAGTCAAACGGTCCGCCTTCTTTCTTTTCGCCAGCTCCGTTCGCCCTCCGTTGACCCTCAGCAAAAGCCTCGAATTCCTGAACAATGTTATCGTCCATCCATTCCAGCATGCTTCTGGCGTATCGCATGGTACTCGACATGTTTCTACCAGCAAGGTATAATTTGGCCGAGCTGAGGACGCCGTTTTCAGAGACCGCGTCTGCTCTCCACGCATGTTCGAGAAGGTAAGACAACTCCAGGACTCTTGCGCTAGAGTCAACAGGTATCAGCACGGTGCCTCCCTTGGTGACACAGGTCTGGATCATGTCAAGTAGTTGCTCGTCTCGTTTAGCGCGTCCGGCAGTCTGTGCCGACTTTTGCGCGCCGCGGCTGCTGCAAATAAGGGCCGTGGGCTTGCGAAGCTGTTCAATGACTTCGGCGCCGCCTCCTCCCGCTCCTCCAAGCCAAGCTGCGCCTGCAAAGACGTTTTCTCGTGCCTGATTCCAGTCCACTGCATAAACAATCGACTCGAGTCCATGTTGTATATGCCAAATGGTTCCTCCCAGAGTGTGTCCAGAGTTGTATGCGGTGATGGTAAGTCCGTTCAGCGGTGGTGAGAACGGGGACGGAAGTGGTTGGTGAGGTTGAGAATACTTGAGGGGTTGGATCAGGGAGAAGTACCGCGCGATCTGGTCGGGAGTAGGCGACTGCAAGAGCAGGTTCTGCGCCGTGGCGGCCGTCTGCGTATAGGCGTAGGCTATCTCGGATAGAGAGCTCTGGCGAATGGTGGTAGAGGCGGCGGGCGTGGAAGAATAGAGATCCTGGATGAGAGATCGGCCGAGATCGATTACAGGCCGAGTCGCATACGCAGGTATGCGAGTGAATAGTGCAAAATTTTTGCAGCAATGAACGTAGGCAGCGAGATGGGATGCCGTCGCATGAGTGAGAAGGATTAGGGAAAGGGTCGGTACTTGTCTGGCAGAAAGCGAAAGCCGGTTGTTAGCACCAGGAATTTCGGACAAGATCAAAAGTCAAAGACGAATCACGACGGGGGTCCAAAGACTCACTTCTCCAGCTCTTCCAGCTTCCCAACATCAAAGGTTTCATCCCATCCAAGGTCGACGAGGACTTTGACCCCCCCATCGAGCTCCAAGAGCGACTGCGACGCCGTGGACTCGGACAAGGCGCCTTGAAGCGGGCAGAAGGTAAACATGACGGCCGCGGCACAGCAAGGGTGCTAGAGCTACAAAGGAGATGGCGCGAGGCTCACACCAGCATTCTCTTGTCTGCAGATGTCGCTGGGTTGGGGCACAGAGAAAAACGGCAGCTTCCGATGGCAAATTGCTGTGCGACAATGAACATGGCTTGCATGGAGCAGCTGCGCATTACCTCGAGGCGATCAACTTGGTGTCACGACTCACGAGTCACGACTTCGCGACATGCAGTTCAGTCCGCAGGTACTCCGTAGTTACTCCGCTCCGTAACAAGGAGCTGCTCCACACAAACTTACATAATTCGAAAGCCCATTACTGATTGGGTGATGCCACGCGAGCCCGTCGGATCGGGTCAACTTTGTCGCGTCAGGTGCCGAGACCGCGGACCCCAGAGTATTCTCCGGCAACGACAACCGAAAGGTCCGTTAATACCGAGTGCCCGGTGTCGGTGTCGGCGTGTCGGCGCATCTGCTCTGCGGCTAACTGGACAGGGAATAGCCAAGTCTCTGGGTCTCTGGCGCAGCGGGTGTGAAGGAAAGAGCCGCCAGACCCGCCCAGACGCGGTTCGCTCAAAGGCAAATCCCAAATCTCGGGAGTGATTTCAGACGGCCAAGGCGCCAGACTCGACGGATGGGAGCCGGGTTGCATGTAGCGTCTCGATGCGCATCGCAATGATATCGTCGCATCCTTTCTCGCGCTTCCTCGAGGACGCCGGTCTTGTTTGTAGGTTCCGGCGAGTGGACCCGGATCGGACTTTCGTTTAAACCTTGGACCCCCACTCGGTTCGACTCCCGGACTGCATTCACCGTCACCATCGTGTAACGCAAGTAGGCTGGCTGACGACGGAAGCAAGAAGGACGGACCGCAGCGCAAGAGAAGGGCCGCCCGCTTGGATGTTCGTCGCTTCGACTTGCAGCAACCGCCAAACGAGAACTGTCACGTAAAACAACTCACCAAGTTCCAACCGAGCCAGGGCTCCAAAGATTCTCGATATATGATCACCATGGGATCCCTTGCAAAGCCCGTCATCATCAGTGGCGCCGGAGTCGTTGGATTGACCCTTGCCCACGGTCTCAAAAAGGTAATGCCACATCTCTACGTCAGTAAAACTCACAAGCCGGCCGACCGATCGAGGGTTGCAATCTGCAAAGTTGTCATGGCGACTCTGTTGTCGAGCTTGCTGACCGCGGCCACCTGCAGGCCAATATACCCTTTGAAGTATACGAGCGTGACGACCACATCGACGCTCGTAGCCAAGGCTGGGGCATTACAATCCACTGGGCTTTGCCGTTCCTTGTTGAGCTCCTCGACCACGCCACTGTTGACGCGGTAGAAAATGTCCAAGTCGACCCAGAGGTAGGCCGCAACGACAGGGGCAACTTTCTCTTCCTCAACCTTGAGACGCTGCATCCGAAATTCCGCATTCCACCCAACAGGCGGCGCCGAGTCAACCGCGACAAGTTGCGCAAGGCCCTCCTTCAGGGTGTCGCGGACCATGTAAGATGGGGGAAGCGCTTAAACAACATTGAGCTTACAGAAGGTGAGAACCGGGGTGTCCGGGCTCACTTTGCAGACGGCTCTTCAGTAGAGGGCAGCATGGTCATCGGCGCCGAGGGGACCAACTCTCGGACAAGAAAGTTCCTCGTGCCAGACAACTACAGAAACCACCAGCTTCCGGTGCGTTTCATCGGCGCCGCGGTAGACATGACGCCAGAGCAGGTCCGGCCCTTGCGTGACATTGACCCTTTACTCTTCCAGGGCTGCCATCCCGTCACCGGACACTACCTCTGGGTGTCGATAATGGAGTCTCCCGAAGCAAACGGCACAAAGGGGACAGACGAGGAACGGTACAGAGTTCAAATCGTCACATCATGGATGGTGAAGAGCGAAAAGGATGAGGTCCCACCCAGCGATGCCGAGCGCATTGCCGAAATGAAGAGACGCGCTACTGACTTCCACCCGCTGCTCCGTCAAGCAGTCCAAAGTATCCCCGAATCGGCACAAGCATTGGAAATCGCCCTCCAGGACTGGCCATGCTTCGATTGGGACAACCGCGATGGCCGGGTGACCCTCGTTGGTGACGCGGCACACGCCATGACCATGTATCGCGGCGAGGCGGCCAATCACGGGATGCTGGACGCTTATAACCTTGTTCAGTGTCTCAAAAAGATTGTCTCTAACGAGACATCACGCAAGGCTGCCATCGACCACTACGAAGAAGAGATGAGAGCTCGCACGGGCGGTGAAGAGGGCGCCGTCATGTTGAGCCGACAGGCCTGTCTGGACGCCCATGACTTTCACGGTTTGAGTGAGAAGTCGGCAGTGTTGCGGCGACGGGCTATCCAGACTGAGTGAGCGTCTTCACATGACTGCAAATACAAGGTTTTGTTTCCACGTGGACGTCCGGTTTGTTCGTCCCACGGCCGAAGTGGACACGACTACTACGTAGTGCAATGCTCAGATACAGGAACCCAATTATACTCCACGAATCAGTTGCAGGAATCTCAACGTGACCTCCCTCTCCGTCTCCTTGTTTCTCTCTCCTTCTGTTGGCAACCATATCCAAAACAGCTACGTCCTCGGGTCGACAATCCTGTATCAAAAGATGCATCGTCATTCTCCACATTTCCGTTGACTCACTTGGCGCCTTTGGAAATCGCAGGATCCCACGAGAGCTAAGTCTCTAGCTCTTACGCAAGATACGCCTCTCCCTCGTCTCTCTGTCTTTCTCTCTGTCTCTCTCCGTCTTTCTCACAGCACACCCGTCCAACGCCGCGCACACGCCGGTACGGGCGAGGCCAATGTAATTATAATCGACGGCAACTAGACCTGCCTCGCCGCGGTCACGCATACGCACTCGTGTATCCAGCCCGCCAACGTGACACACTATGCCACGTTCGAGATAGCAACAGTAGTGCCGTGTACTTAGTGCACCCGCCTAGCATACTTATATATCCGGGGACTCATCTCAGGGCCTCACCCATCTCCGGCACTAACAGAACTCAATCAGGCCAGCAGCCACGGCAACTCGCCCTCGAACCTCGAGGCGCCACAACACTCCCATCCGAACGGAGAAGAAGGAGGAGGAGGAAGAAGGAAAACACCCCCTTCTGCCCGCGCGTCACAGGCGCCTCGACGTGATTCCGGCCTCGGCGCCATCCGCCAACTCCGGCCCCCCGCACATTCCAGACTCATCTAGCAGACATAGACTTTGCCGGGCCGCGTGGCAGGCCTTCCCTCCCGGGACCCAGAGCCTCAAGATAACTCTAGGCGTTGTTGGCATAATTTACCCAACCGACAGCAGAGAGACCAGGGACGACCAGATCCCAAACCTTGACGGCCCCCCTTGTTGTAAACCGAGCCGGGAGAACCGTCCGATTGGCCACACTCACAAATGCAGTCTGTACGTGACGCGGCCGGCCGAGGCACCGGCAGAGGAGGAGTAGGGAATACGCAGCCGTGTGCTAAATATACCACCGAAAATGTTGGTCGGGTCGGACAGATAAAGGGGAGCCTTGATGACGTGATTCCATCTCGTAAATGTCTTTTCCCCCCTCGACCTCTACAAGTCGTTGCGGCAAGCAAATGATGACGCGGACATGGAGGCGGCCGTGTATTGATTACATGTCCCGGCAGCGACCCACCTCCGTCGATGGTAAACTTTTTTAAGGTTCAGTCAACACACTCCTGTGATGGGCTTCTAGACAGACAGAAGGGGTTTAAAAAGAGGGGGGATTAAAGGCTGCCCGGCGGCTCCAGTACACACATGGCTTTTGCGGGCATCGAGATTGATCAGAATTGGAGATTTCGTCACAAAGTCCTGACTGACATGTCCAATTTTTGAAAATGAATACTGAGCCAAAAGAAACGCCAAACACGCTTCACTGTATACCGATATGAGTCTTAATCTACATGCTTCACAAAAGAAGCCTTCTAATCCCAGTCCTCCTTTTCCTAATTGAACCCAAACCTCACTTGGGCAGTAAATACCATTCATCATCCATCAGAACCCGACGAGTTGCCCAAATGCAGCGCCATCTGTGTGGCCGTTAAAAGCACATCATATAAACAGAGGGATGCCAGCCACCCTTTTACCCAAAATATAAAACAGTGAATACAATGTCTCGGCCTGGCCAGGTCTGGTCGCAGGCTTAAATGCAGAACTTCCTGTCCAGCATTCGTAACGCTCTGGCATCCTCACTGACGCCACATTTCTCCGAAACAGCTCCGTTTACCCGTGGACTGCTGCTGCCGGAGCCATTGGTGGCAGTTTTAATGCCGGGAGAGTCGCTCGTAGGGTGTAGCAGCGCTGACAGGCTAGACCTGTGACCGTTGGTAAAGGCACTGGTCAACCCGTTTTCGTGAAAATTTCTCGGCGGGCTCACGCTGTGATTACGCGTCGGGGTCGTCATGGTGGAATGTGGGACTGCGACGCCGACCGAGTTGAGCGTTGGCAGCGGCCCGTGCGAGCCTATTCGTTCCCTGTGTCCGGGAGATTCCTGGAGCCTGTGCGGCGATGCTCCCCGTTGCAAGGCCGGCATCGAGGCGGGCTTGGACTGCTGCAGAGGCGGCAACGAGGGACGGTCGTAGTGTGGAGGCGGAGGAGCGTGAGTATAGTGAGGCGGCGCATACGCGGCAGGGTGTTGCGAAGGCGCCTGGGAGAGGTGGGGAGGAGGAAGAGCATGAGGATGAACACCAGGCGGGAACGGCGCTGGTGCGTAGTGCGAGAATGGAGGCGTGGCGGCAGGTGATGGTGGCCAGCCGTATCCCGACGGAGCGTAGTGAACATAGGCCTGTTGGTGAGCGTGGGCGTGGTGAGAGGCAATCATGTACGGCTGTTGCATCGGCACCCGAGTAAGAGCAGGAGTCTGGTTCGTCTCGCCCATGCTAGACTCTGGATACATGCCCTTGGGCGGAGCGATTCCTCTAAGAGAAGGGTCGGAGCTGGGCTGAGGGAGATCGGGTTGGCCTGGTTGAGGGCGCGAGTAGTAGGAAATTAGATGAAGATGTTGGCCGGTTGAGGTAGTGATACTAAAAGACTGCTTCATCAGACCGTCGGCTTTGTATCGATAGCCCTCGGGCTCGCCATCATCGTGATCCTCATCGCTGCCACGGCCAGAGTCGGGCGTCTTTCCAGCGCCCCGTCGCCCGCTCCCAAAGCCCCCTCCCCGCTTGCCTTCCATTTCGCGATAGGTCAGGAAGCTGCCCGATACACGACTTGCACTCCACGACTTTCCGTCTGTCCACCGTCTCATGCCAGCCTCCCTTTCATCCCACACGAAGACGGAGCCTGAGCGGATCGACTGTCTCTCTTTTTCAGATAGTCGCCGTTGTACCCGAGGCAACAACCCCAGCCGACATGCCTCAAACAACTTGATGGCGTCGTTGGGAGTACGCACGTAACCGTGGTACGTCTCCATCTTGTCCAGACTAATGGGATCCGTTTTGGACGTTGTTAACCGTACCTGCTTTCGCAGGCCGTCAAATCTGGGGACAAATGTGGTCAAATTTTGGCGCAAAATCGCGCCCGAGATTGGGTTCCGGGGCTGTGAGCTCAAGGCAGATCACACAAGTCGTTGAAAACTTGGCGAGTACCCGAGCCCCAAGTCGACGCGGCAGGCCGCCCTTGCAATCCCTTCGGACTGAAGGGAACTCAGTGAACCAGCCGAGACTAGAAAGGGATCGGTCAGCATTTGGGGTAGGAAACCGGCATGGTGTCAAGCGCTTTGGGATGATGAAGTGGCGCAAAGGAGTCTTGACGGCGAGGCAGGTGACGGAAGGGCAATGTGGGTGACAAGGGAAAACGAGCTCTCTTATGAGCGGTGCCAAAATGTCCTTCCTTGGCTACAACATCAAGCAAGGAAGCATAGCAGCAAACAAAAAACATGGGACCCGCCACGAGGGACCCGCCACGACGGGCCACGACGGCCGTGGAGTTTCTGTGTGAGGTTTGCCTTTATCTCGGTCCGTGCTGGCAAGGATAGCCTTCTACAGTTGATCTGCCAAGACCCACACGGCCTCAATTTCCCTTGTCTGCCGTCGAGGCGTTGGCCCTCTGGCGATTTGCATTACAACCTTGAGACGAGAGCATCTGCCAGCATGCTTTCAAACGAGGGTCTGTGGGAGACTTCTTGGCAGCGTCGCCGTGACCTTTTGAGCCCATGCGAGTGGACCGAGGGCAGCCAGAAGCGACATTGGTCGAGCTTCTCGGTACACAACGTGCCCTGACGGCGGTACAAGGCTTGTTTGTAGTGAAGCGGGTGTTGGTGTCGCGGTTCCTGACTGACTTGAGGGCATCTCGAATCATGACGCTCATCAACAACAAGGTGCTCAGACGGAGAAGTAACACTCTGCTGAATGACTGGGTCCACAGAAACGCGCTTTGTGCGCCAGGGCGAGACGGGAGTGCAAAATGAAGGGCCCTCGATGGAATATGCTTGTGGGAGAAGAAACAAAGAAAAGGGGAAAACGGGAGGCAGTGGTCAAGATCCAAGATGGCGGGCCCGAGACGGCTTCTGGATGCAACAGCACAAACATGACCGACCACGTACCTCTCTTTGTGTCCTAGCTTTCCGGTACCAACTCGCCCGACCAGAGCATGCGAGGGTGTCTTGTTGGACGGACAATTCCCTGTTGTTCTGTCTGTGCCGAGACCTTGTCCTTGGCGTCGTCCCTTTGTTGCTTGCCTTGTGTGACAAGAGTCGCCTGGTGGGAGGGAGTGCTTGAGCCGGAAGATGACTCGATACAAACCGGGAGAGTGTGCAGTACTTGTGCTTGCTGTTGGCGTTGCTGTTGGCGTTGCTGCTGCTGTTGCTGTTGCTTGCTATGAGACGTCGTTATATGTACAAGTCGTGGTTGTCATAAGTCGTGGCCATGCAAAGTACAAGAGAGGCGTGTCAGTCTTGGACGGAGAGCTCCATGCGGGCTTGGCTCGAGGCTCGAGGGTGGCCAAGTAATAAATGCCCAAGATGACCGTGAATCCAAGGGACAAACAAGAACGAGGAAAAGGTAAAGAAATAAGGTTGGGGGCAAGTCACTGTGCGTGACGGGAGTAACGAGCCAGGGACAGGACAAGACGGACAGGCAGAGCAGCGATCAATGGATAAGCGGCGCCGGACAGCCGAGAAAGGGGGGGGTGGGCTGTACTTGTGAGGACAGGGGTTGCTGTGCTGGCGCCACGGCGGGCGTGCGGGCGTGCGAGCAAAGAGGCAAAGAGGAAAAGGCCGAACAGCGAACTCTCGGCATGGCGGCGTCCTTCGTGTTCTGCCGGACGGTTCTCTAGCCTCAGCAATCTGGAGCTGGCGGTGGCTCCCGGGGGCTGCTGGTGGCTCTGGTGGCTCTGGTGGCTCTGGTGGCTCTGGTGGCTGGGTGGGGCGGGCGTCTAATCTTTCTCAGTTAATATCAGACTACGTACTACTAGTAGTAGTAGTACATTAAGTAAGTACTGAAGTGTCAATCGATTGTTGTACGGGCATACTTTGAGTACATGCTGTGTGTACGGAGTACGAAGCACCTGTGGCTCGCCCAAGCCCCCCCATATTTTGTGTTTGTGCAAAGACATCGATTGCTGCCTCAACCAGCTTTCGGATTGACCAGGATGCCCTGTTCGCGCCCCCGAGGACAAGCTTTTATGGGTCGTTTGATGAACCCTAATCTGGCCCGTCTGCCAGCCATGGCCAAAGTAGCAGGTGTTGCACCGCCTGACCGGCACACAACGCATCGGAGAGCCATTCGTGACGGCGACTCGTTGCATCTTTCCTCGTCTTGCAACCCTTCAATTGATAAGCGCAGTACTCCGTACCCCGTATTGCTTGCCGAAGTGCCGGCGGAAGTGCCTGTTGGCAACTGCGGAACGGCATGAGCGGCAAAGCAAATAGAAGAGAGAAATCAGGAGCAACTCGCCCGCCGCAACGAGACCAACCATCATGTCGGTGCCCCAGGAGTGTCAGGGGAGGTCGGCACGGGATAATGATTGACTTTGCATCGAGCAGCTTCGACTTTGCCGCTCGGCCGAGTCAGGAAACCCAACACGGTGAGACTCCATGAGAAAGGAGAAAGCAGAGACAGGCCCGACGCCTTTGGTCAGCAACTGGCCCTCGGCCATGATGGAGCCGGGTCGATTATTCCACGTCAAGCGACGCTATGATCCTTTTTTTTTTTTTTTTTTTTTTTTGGTGCCGTTGTGCGACTCGAACATCCAGCGGCAATGGACCCGAGACTTCCAACATGGACGAAAAAAAAGGCAACCCTGAGTCGGTTCGGTGAACCTTCGTCGCTTGGAGGGGGCCCGGTTTGGGCGACCAAGCCCCTTCAAAGTTCCGTTGCCGTCCGCAATGGTCCCGCGAATCAATCCTGATACGTACGTCTTCATTCGGGACGTGGTTTCGTCGGCCGGCTTCTTTTTGCCGTGATTATTGGACGTAATATCGCATGGGCGTGTTGCCAGTCTTATGACGGCACCCACCAATAAGAGAGCGTTTGAACGGCACAATAAGGTCATAGGTTACCCTCCTAAGCTTAATTTTCCCTCTAGCCTGTTGACGAAAGGGGCTGTCGTTTACAAGGCTGTCTGGCTGAGACACGGCCACCACTGGTTAGACACAAGCCGCAGATACAAACGTGTAACTGCCCTGTACCGAATACTCCGTACGCATGGAGTAACCACGGCGTCGCCCGCGGTCCATGGCTGCATCACGGTGAGTCCCTGGATATGTTACGTTGGCACCAGTGGCCGGCGGAATGGTTTGGAATGGCTTGGCAACTCCAGTTCTCCGTCGAGTGGATAGCAAAGGTTTGTATCAGAGCGGATCCCGCTTTAGCCGCACCGTGAGTGTGAGCGTGAGCTTGTGCTCCATGAGCACGGTATTCAATCGAGTACACCATACTACTCCCGAGTCCTTACGGCCCGTTATGGAACATTGTTTGTCCCCTCAGATGCGGATACTGCGGGCGAGCCGGTCCCAGAGTTGAGGATTTGATATCCGTTGCCAGCAAATGGGAGTAGTACTCCGTGGGAGATGGCCATTGTCAACTTGGTTGCGCCTGGCCTCTTTCTTCCGCCGCGGACGGCTCTATTCGCCTGCCGACCGCCGTGCCGAGTGTATCCCATACAATTCATCCGTACAGCAACCAAGTGCCACCACCAACGGAACGGAGTACATGGAACCATGTTTGTGGCCGTGGAGCAAACGCTGCGTCAGCCGCTTGACGTGCCGGTTGCCACTGGACTCATCAACCTCTTTCGTCGTCGTGTCGGCTCATCAGCGGCCATTCTGAGAGTGAGTTTGGCTTGTGGCGGCCACGCCTCTGGGTAAGTCGGCACGCCGGTCGTCGTCTGGCCTCCTAGATTGCGCCGGCGAAACGTTGCCAGCACTTTGTTCCTCCGCGTTGCGGTCCACCCGTGGCTGCGCGTGGCTCTTGGTAGGCTGTGAGTTACAAGCCGCATGATATCAACCAGTTTATTACTACTTCTAGCCAAGGTGTTTGGGCTAAGAACCGCCGAGATGCTTCTTGAGGCCGTAAGAGAGGCACTAGCCGAAATCTGCACCATGTTGGAAGCCCGACTGTCGCCGTTGGGGCGTCATCCGTCGAACTTGATTGCCATGCATCGGTTCAGCCGGGTGTTCTTGTTGATTTGCATACAGCGCACGGAGTGGTTTGTTTTGGAAACTTGGTGAAGATGGCCGGCCGGGCGAATCTAGTAAAGGCAAAGGCATCGATCTATCTTCCATGTCCCCGGTTTAGCCAGTCAGGCGGTGTTGGTCGTCCCGGGAGCCGAGGTGCTCTTCTCATTTGCACCATCTGATCTGCAGTGGAGGAGGAGTTTGTCCGAGATACGGAATACACGACTCGTGGTAACGTTATTATTTGGTGCGTCGCGCCTTCCCCTTCCTCTGGGACGCTCGCGCCGCACTAGCGAGGCCGTCAAAGGCAATCTTGACTCTTGGCACTGCTGCTTCTCCTTCCATCCTTGGACAATGGAATCATCGGCGGTGCGAGAGTCAAGACATGGGACGCCATCTGCATCGCAGGCGCTTCAGCTTCCATTTGCCCGTCCAACTAGCCCTCGTCTGGATCAACTTTTGACGTGTACACACTACAGGTATGCCTTGTCTTTTTCATCCTCGAGCAAAGCAGAGACCTTGTCTTGCTCAGGCTGCTATTCGCAGCGTCGACAAGTATGCGCGCTGTCTGACCTCGGTACGGCTCCAGCTCCAACGTGTGTGTCGCTTCTCCAGCAATGTCACCTACATGACACGCTCGGCTTCGGCTTTGCTAGAAACAAAAAGCTGTCCTTTGTCGAGTGAATAACACTTTATGCGGGTTTCCACATCACCTACGCAGCACACGCCACCGACATGCTACGGACATGGTCGAAGCTGCATATGGACAGCGAGCTCCGATGCACACATTTGAGCAT